TTCATTAAAGATAAACTCAGCAATTATCACAGGTATTTATTTATAATTGTAAAAACAATTGGGTATGTAATACGTTTTATATCACACACGCACACACACATACGCACATACATGGTGGACCATTTTAATGTATCAGTCCAAATATTTTCATGATTATGATAAGGGAGAGAGAGACATAACGAGCAGCAGTGGCGCTCGTTATAATGGATAGAAGAAATTAGATTCAATTGAAAATCATCAATGTATTTTCATAGGCCATTCAATCAAGTAATACTGTTGTAATGTTTGCAGGATTGAAGATGTTTAATGGCACATGAAGGATGGAACCTTACATCACATTCTACCAATTTATAATAATGGTACTAAGGTCACCTCATATCATAGTAAAACTGAAGAAAAATTGAAAAATAAGAAAATTTCTGCACCTTTCATATCTCAAGAAACCGAGTAAAAAATTTTATATCAAAATTATCTTAATTATTTTAAAATAGAGTTTTTTATTTATGGAGATAACTTATTACAGGTATATTTGAGCAGCATCAAATTATGTTTGCTTGAAAGGTGACAACAATTTAGCATTATTGTTTTATATCAATATATTTGAACCTAAATCGGAGCCTCAGTCAATAACAATTAACACTATATTTGGCTCCGGTGCTCAAGGACCTTACAAGTTTACACTATACTTCCAGGAAACATATCTGCAATATCTATTAGAGCCGGCAGTAATAACAGAAAGCGCATGGTATTATTTGAGAAAAGCCCTAAAATTATTTCACGAGATATGGATGGATAGACATTTTGTATGTTACTAATTTAGATAGCAAAAAAGTAGTATTAGAGTCATCATATCAAAAGGTGAATATAAGAAACTAATATACGAATCTAGCGATGCAAGAAATATTTACTTATTTGATTCCAATAAATATTACATATTTTAAAATAAATGAAATTTGTTTTTAGATTAGAAGAATTACCATAACTGAACTTAGCATAAATGAAGCTCAATCTGAAAAATTAACATATGTAACAATTAGTTCACTATTTAAGCCTGCGATAGTTGCAGCCGATTGTTCTTGTCAATCACAACAAGTGTCAAGAAGGAAAACGTGTAGATTTTTACTCTCCTCTGAGGACAATATACTGTCAGTTTAGTCCAACAAAATATCATCTAGACTAGAGAGGAATCTATCTCACAAATATTGTAACCGTTGAAATTATTGAGTTGCCAATGTCAGATCGTGATCAAGCACGATCAATATAATTTTAATTGTTTTAGTTAACAGTTCAATGAAATTCCGTCAATTTTGAGTTTCAAGTACATCTTATTCTAATTCAATAAATCAATATATTAACTAACTTTCTTCTACGAATGGTTGCTGTCCGGTCATGATGTTAATAGTTCATGTAAGTAGCATATACGTATAGGCAGCATTAACATTTAAGTGTGGAGTTTGATTTTTCATTATGATTTTTTTATGAAAGCATGATTTTAAAAATTTGAAATTTTTATCTTAAATTTTTCGTCAGCATGAGGGTTCTAGTGTTTATTAAGAGTTTGAAAATATTATTTTTAGGCATTTCAGTATCAATATAAAATTAACTATATTGTTGAATTATTATTAGATAACAATATTTTCTTAGCGTGTTAACTCTTTACAAATAGATTTTTTATTAGTTTAATTTATTTAATTGTTTTAGTTTTGTCAAACGTTGAACTGACTAAATAAACTGATGTATTGCGTTCGCTAGGCTTTAATTTTTAAGTAATTGCAGTATTCTTTTGAGTTGTTAATATCTAAATTGTTGATTTATCTTCTCTTTTAGAAGCAAACCAGATAAACGTTTTCATGCAAGGAACTTTGGGCTTTGAACCACAGTAATCAAATCAACGAGCCGATTTAGTTCGTGATAAATTTGGTTTACATAAAGTGATTGTAGCTGTTACATCGTCAGGGAAGGTGAAACTGTTATATCAAACTTGAACGATAGATAAACTGATTTTAATTTTCGTGTGACTTATATTAACAATTTATTATTATAGCTGTACGGAATAGAGTCAACGAAAGGTGAAATAATTTGGCAATCACAAGTCTATAACATTAAAGGCTTATCTCAGGATTTTAACAAGATAGTTTTGTATGTTCAACGTGGAAGTAGGCACTTTCCGCATCCACCTCAGTGCGCATTGCTTGCAATAGGTAACGTAATTTTTAATTTTATCCGCATTTTCAATCGCGACCTTTAAAGTCGACGTAAAATTAAGAGTATTATTAATTTTGTAGACCACTGGAAATGGAATGATATACACTTTCAACCCAATAAACGGACAGCTACTGGATAGACTGACAAAGTTGAATTACCAAATCAAGCAGTCAATTTTGTTACATGCATTAACCGATATTTTTCTACGTGGTATAGTTATTTTGGATGAGCACGACCGAGCGCACGTCTTTCCAGAAAGTGCAAGCGCTGTTGCAACTTCTGCTGGACGTACTACTTACATCTTCACTGCCGACAGGAAGACTGGTGTATTGTCTGGATACTCGCTTACTTATAGCAACTCGCAGAATCTAATCGCTCACAAGTTGTGTAAAACTATTTAAAAGCTTAAAAGCTTCCACAAAGATTGTGATATATTTTTAAAATTCATTGCCTTCGTTCAGGTATGGGAATTAGTTTTCTCGTCAAAGACACAACGGATAACACATGTCGTCTCAAAAAGTTCAATCGAACGTGTTCATTCGCAGGGTCAAGTGTTGAGTGATTGGTCAGTTTTATACAAATATATCAATCCAAATCTGGTTGCTGTCGTGACTCAAGGAATAGGTGATGCTTATAAAAGTTAATTTATTACATCTATAATAAAAAGGACTTTGCAAAAACTAATTATGTTTACTCAAAATCTTGTTTAATTATTTATAGATACTCTCAATTTGTATCTTCTTCATGTCGTACCTGGATCAATGATTTTCTCCATCGTACACAAGAGAACCAAGGAACCAGTACATATTGTTCATTCCGAAAACTGGGTTATTTAAAGTTACTTTAACGATAAAAGTCAAAGAACGGAAATAGCTACGTAAAGAAGCTACGGAAAGAATTGTATGAGAGAAAAACTCAAAGCAATACTACAAGTAAATTGCTTAAAATAAAAATTGTTACATCCATATCAATTCATATTTAACACTAACAATAATAATTTTATGTTGTAGTTTTCTCATTATTAACTAACACAAAGTTACCTATTGTGGAGAGGCAAGCTTTTATATTACATTTGTCAATTGATTCAATGCAAGAAACGATTACAGAGAAAGGAACTAGCAAACACATCCTAGGTGAATAATTTAATTTAATATCGAATTGTTCCACGATTTACTCTTCGATTTCAAATATTTTAACCGGAATGTTATTCATTCAGTTGCATTAACAAATGGCGGAGTGTTGAAATTTCCCTGGATATATGTAGACCCAAGAAGCCCAGTAAATCCTGAAATATGGGAAGAAGGAGCCCGAATTGCCGATACACATGGACGGCATTGTAAATTACAATTAGAGTGTTTCTATAGGGTATCTGGAATTCATACTACTCCTATTGGTCTTGAAAGCGCATGTTTAGCACATGTATAAGTAATGGAAAAAATAGTTTTAGTTTACGAGTGGTATCGAAACATTGTTTATTAATAATTTGAATCAAAAAACCATTTTATTTACTTATTTGCTTACATCTTTGTTTCTAATTGTCGTATCGAAATAAGACTTACAATATGAGATTTCCGTTAACATTTTTTACTTGGTTCAATATCTTTCAAAATTAAATTAATTCATTTTAACAACAATAATTTTCATTATTTGCAGAAATGTTAAAAATTATAAATGATTATATGTACTAGTCTTCTTTATACAGTATATAACCATTATCACAACCATATTCATTTATCCAGTATATAACCGTTTATCATTTTTAATATTTCTGCAAACAATGCAAGATATTGTTGTTAAAATAAATTAATTTAATTTTAATAAATATCAATCCTTGTGTTAAATTTTATCATAAATCTAATGCCGCAAGGCTTATCTCGATACGATAACTAGAAAAAAAGATATAAACAAATACTAAATAAGTACTGCTTTTTCATTAAAATTATTAATAAACATTGTTCTGATACCTCTCATAAATCAAGACTATTTTTCTTATTATTTACGCGTTCTTCCTCGACGAAAGTAAAAATAACGGGGTGTTCGGAAAAATATATATTTTATTATTTTTTCGGACACCGTAATGACTGGACTATACATATGTATTATTTATATTGATATTATTTATTATATTATCCCTAAAAATAAAGATATACATTATTTTAATATTTTAATAATTTAAATGTTCATAAAAAATAAAAAATAATAAATAAAATTTTCAAAATATGTATTTTTATTTAAAAACCATTAATAATAATAATAATATACAGCATAAATTTTTTTCAAAATGCCGTCATAATGCGGGCATTCTGCAAGCATTTCGTGCAGCAGAACGGGAAGGCATAATGTCGGCATAATTCCCGCACGCCGTGCCAAACGATGGTTACCATGCGTGCTGTCACAATGCAGGCACAATGAGCGCACGGCGTGCTTTCAGAACGACGTCAGAATGCGGATACACTTGGACGTCCCGTGCCGGCGCATTCTGACGGCATAGTGCCGGCACTGTGTTATCTGGGTGCCAGCACGAAAGTCACGCCGTGCCAGCATTGTGACAGCATTCTGCCGGCACTATGTTATCTGGGTTCGAGCGTATGTGGCAGATGTTACCGACCGTCGAGCCTCACTGACAAGTCCAGTCAGTAACATCGAGACGAAAAGCTCTCAACCTTACCAACCTCTCTCGAGCGTGAGCTTTGGCTACCTCACACTACGACCAACCTTTTACACGAGACTCCTCGTACACATACATTCATACATACAATAAATCTCCAACAGCCAAATACACTTGAAGTGTGTCCTTCACGTTCTTGCGGTTCTTGCGTATACATCAGCTTTCCTTAAACAGTATAAGAATAATTATTAGAATAATAATTTGACTTTTTATAATTAAATAATAAATCATTTATATTCACATCAGCCTTTAAAATTCAAAGTATGTGTTTGTTTGAATTTCAATATTATTTTTAACCTGTTATTTAATTAACTACGTTCAAAAAAATTTCTAGATTTAATTTGAAAAATTACTAGGTATGGTAATAATATAAGTTGAACTGTTTCCTACTCCGACTCCCACACATTGAATGACCAGCTGTTATTATATGTAATATGTGTGCAATGCATTTACTTTTGTAAAGATTCTTTGTGAAGATTACAAGAACTCATTTTTACAATTTGTAATAGCTTATTGGTAATGATTTGTTGGTTATAAACCACTAAATTTGATAATAAATTATTGCAGTGCACTTGGAGCTTTTACTGTAAAAATATTTTGAGAATTATTTGAATGCCTTCTATCTTCAGGTGATGTGATAAATTTACATTATTTTCAATTCAAGAAAACATTAATCTTTAATTATCAAAATGGCAAGCGGAATAATAGTAACTGAAAATTGGGAAGGTAAACATGTTTTTTTTCATGCATTCACTTTTATTTGATGTATTTTACTTTGCTTAGCTTAGAACATCTCTGTATGTATGTACCTTTATAATATTCATTTTTATGAAAAACATTATTTTACAAGACATGTTTTTTAGATTTGCGAAAGAAAGCAAGACATTTGGAAAATGAAATTGATGCCAAACTAGTAGCTCTCAGTAAATTAGGTGTAAATGTAAATTCAATGCATACTAATATTGAATCAGTTCCACTGTTAGATGAAGAGCATGTTTTTGAAAACATGGCATCAGAAATTGAATCTTTATTAAACAAGGTAAACTTTTTGATCATTTAAATTTTTCTTGTATCTTAGTTTCAATATTTATATACATGTACATAGCTAACATTGGTAAATGAAAAAATGAGTGAAATTCAACCTAATGGAGCTGCAATGTTGCACACTATGCAACGTCACAAAGAGATATTGAAAGATTATAACATGGAATTTAACAAAACTAGAAACAATTTTGTATCTAGAAAAAATCGAGAAGAATTGTTAGGTGGAACTTCTAAAGAAAAAGAGTGAGTTTATATTATTGATTCATTGAAATAACAAAATTTGAGTTTGAATTTAACATAAATATTTCATTCAGTTACAAGGGTATGAGTGGCTTGAATCGTAGAGATATGTATTTGAAAGAAAGTCAGCATATTCACAAGTATGTAATTTTCTACATTAACTGTGATATTCAGTTTTATCTATAATATAAAAAAACTTTATTTTTAGCTCTGATAGATTGATTAATGATCAAATTAGTATTGCAATGGAAACAAAAGATCATTTGATGTATCAGCGTCACACTTTCAAACGTATTCAAAGTAGATTTAATGATATTTCAAATAGGTTTCCTGCTGTGAATAGTCTAGTTCAAAGGATTAATCTTCGTAAGCGAAGAGATTCTTTAATACTTGGCATTCTTATTGGTTTTTGTACATTTTTAATATTATTATATGCTTTTCATTGAATATCAAAAACTATATCAAAGTTATATAAAATTATATCTGCATATACCTATAAGATGACGTTATTTAATTGTTTTTGTTTACATCTATTCAAGATCTAATATATAATTAATTAGATACTTCTTTCTGTGGAAGCGTAATTTGACAATATAAGTTTAGAGACCGATAAATTACACAAAATATAAATAAAATTCAAACAAGTTTTTTAAAACATCTTTACTCATAGACCGATTTTTTTGAGTAAATAAACGTTTTAGATAACTTAAAAGATTGAATTATTACGCTATAATCTTAATTTATTAAAATATGGATCTCTTGGAATGTAACAAAGATAATAAAATTTTTAAATGATTTTTCTTGATAAATTTCATAAAAAATATTTAAGTTATATATTTAAGTTATATGAAATGTGAAAAAAGAAAGTTTCATAAAACTTTCATACACTTTTTTTATATAAGAACTAACTATATTACTCTGCAATAGTCTTTAGAGTGATAATAGTTTTGTGGAATGAAATACTTACAAGATAATTCAAAAAATATTTTCTTTATGCAAGGCTAATTATTGTATGGTATTGAAGAATAATTATTAAAGATCCAAAATTTGTAAAAAATGTAAAAAAGTTATGGTTTTTTACGAGTATTGTAAAATTGGATAGGTAGAATAAAGTTAGTATTGTATAATTACGTTATATTTTTATCTTATTTGTATGAATTTTAATAAGATATTTAAAGTATTTTTACAATCACTATTTTATTTTTTTCATAGTAACCTGAAGCAATAAAAGATGTGATATAAAAATTGCTCTAAATGAACTGTTAAAAACATAGAAACACATGAGTAATTTGCATGATATAATTTTTCAGATATATTTTTTTCATTCCAATTTTTACATACATACTTAGATAGGTATGTACTCAAAGTACATTATAATGTACACACACACATCCTTTTTGAAATACAATCGCACTACGTGTAAGATAATTCAAATATGATTACCGTCCTTGAAATTCAATTGTAATATAAGATAATTTCCAAGGTAATAGATATGTTGTAAATAATTAATCAAAATGGAAAATACTTCATTCATATTACTTTTTTATAATGTACAATAATTATTTTTTTGTTTCAATCAGTACAGATTTGTTACTAACAAGTGAATTATGTTTTTTTTCATCTAGTTGATTTACATTATCTTGAAATAAATCATATTGATTAAAGAATTGTTACTTTTTGACATTATTTTCATTATTAATTTATATTAATTTCAATGAATGGATCATATTGAACAATATGCACAGATATCTACTGGCTAATTGCTTGCTATTATATTTAATTTTTGCTAGACAGTAAATATTTCGCTTCCGTTTCATTCTCGGCTGTCACCCGTAATTCTTTTTTGCATTATTTTATTTCTGAAAACCTATTTATTTATGTTCAAAAAATATACATTTTTTAATTACAATCAAAACTTTTTAAGAATTTTAGAGAATATACGAAAAATAAATGTTAAAATAATAAATAAATAATATATATAAATAATAAATGTTAAAATAATAAATAAAGATGACATACGGTGTGACAACAGAGTAATTGCGATATTTACCATATATACGGTTAACATATGAGCACAGTTGTAGTAGTAAAAATTATATCAAATTTTTCAATGAAAGAAAGCAATAGTCTTCAATATCTACGTGTATTCAAGCATTTATAAATAAAACTCTAGCTATGCTAATGGTTCGTTCAATATGACAGCTTGAGTATAATATTCAACTAATGTAGCGCATATTTAAACGATTGCTATGCAAAAAAGTGATTAAGTAAATATAATAAACATAATAAAAAAGAATTTATAGTCAGCTAGTGATAGGTTCACGATTGAAGAGAACTGATGAAATTATGATGAAATATAGAATTTTCAAATTGTAAACAATTTTCAACGTTACACATCTCTCGTAAGAAAAATGAATTAGCAATTTAAACCCCATTTAATTGTAAAAGGATAGAGCTCAGTAGAAAAATGGTAACAATTACTAGTTTTTCCGACTAAGCTGACTACACCGTTAATATTTATTTAGTCTTTAATAACACATTTTGACGGTGTAGGAACTTTCACGTGCCCATTGAGACTTTTGGTTGTTTTATTTTATATCATTATTTTTAATATTTTCATTCATTTTTTTATTTTTACTAAACTATAGTAATGAACATTATTAGGACACAGCCGGGATCTTTTAAACGCTTTTTTCCATTCGTTACCTTAAATTAACTACATTTCGGCACGTCAATAAATGTTTTATTTTTCTTTATTTTTTCAAATAAAATTAAAAAAGTCGTAACAAAGTAGAAGTACTTATATTATATGAATTCTTGGCTGCATCTTTTATGTTTAGTTCGTCAATGCATGACTTGAAAATTCGTTATTCAAGTAAAAAAATAACTGTAACTAACTACGTAGATGAAGAAATGGTTGCGGGCAGACCGCCTTGAACAGAGCATCGCAAACGCCACATTAAAGAAATAAATCAGCATAGGAATTATTTGCTTCATTTCAGCAATAACGAAATTTTTTCTTGAAATCAATATTTAATGACACATAATTAAGCTAAGTCAAATGTCAGTCGACCGAATGTATGCAGACAATCAATTCAATATAGTTGTAAGGAAAACAAGAAATAGAAAGAAAGAGACGACAAGTAAGAAAGAAGCTAAGACTGCTGAGATCAGAATAGAATGTGGCTTGGCCTTATTTGAAAGAGACTGTCGCTTGTTTGAATTTAGAAAGTTTGCTCTTCGACTTTTTCGGCATCGGCAGCCAAAGCTTCTCTCAAAGATTCCATACAAGTTTTGGGAATGAGTGTTCCAACAATCTTGAGACCCTCATCTGAAAAAATAAAGAGATAGTGATATAAGACAAATCGAGAAATATCAGTGGTAAAGTGAACGTTTGAAAGAGCTTACCAGTGCGTAATCTGACGACTTGCATCTTGGAGTTGTGGGAGGAGCGCGCGGAAGCGAGCACGGCTTCGACGCGACTCCAGACGCTGAGCACCGAGCCCGCCACAACGTTATAAGACCTGCGCCTGAGGCCGACCTCGCAGTCAAGACCCAGAGTGACATTCTTGCAATTACCGCGCCAGTAGGCGTGCGAGCAGGTGTCAACCGAAGCCTCGTACTGCTCCGTCCAGTGAGGCTGGGCTTCGTCCTTGGAGACACGCTTATACTTCTTTTCGAGCTCAGCGAGCGACTCCTGGCGTAACTGGAGGCCGGTGTTTGGCCGATAAAGGGCAAATAGCTGGTCGCGCTTGGAGTCACTGGACTTCTTACTGGCGGGGCCGGTGTCGACTTTAACCGCAAGCACTGCGGTCTGCTTGCCGTTGCGCACCTGGTGACTGAGGTAGAAGCCTTCGCGCGAGCCCTCGAGACCGGCCCAGCGATCGCTCGCCTCAGTCCAACTCATCCCGCGCTCCACATGCACCACATGCAGTTCTGTGGGTGCAATGCCTGTGGCATGTTTGCGCAGGAAACGGGTCAACCGCACGCGCCGTACCACCTCGCCCGAGGCACCTAGATCGAGGATGCCCATGTCGAAGCGACCTGCCCGCTTGGCCTGACTCACGATTGCTGCCAGAGTATCTGTAAAGTACTGGAACAGCCGATTCTGCAACTCCACCGGCATGCCCAAGATGCGATTTAAAAACTTGGACATGTTGTTATAGTCCTTGTCAAGCGACAGCACGCCTGGCATGTTTTCGCTGTTGCAGATCAGGCCAACCCCTACCAACGCATCCGCGACGTCCTTGAAGAAGTCACCTCGATAGTCGCGCGGTGGCGGCACTAGCGGCGATTCGTACCTAAATTACCGTGATGGTAAGGTATCAGGATCGCTCATGATACGTCAAAAATGTGTCGATAATCTGATTCACTCACCCCATAATCGTCTTCATCGTAGCCTCGAGCGCGGCTCTGCCATACTTATTATCGATATTGAACTGCGAAAGGTCTCGCGTCTCGGTGGCGCGGCGATCGCCGTGCGTTAGCGCTCCGAGACTTTCGAGCCTCTTGGCCACGGTCGAGGCAAACCTACGCTCTCCAGCCAGGTCCGAAATGAGGAATATGTATTCGGGCGCATTCACCTGATTCGAGCGGTGCGTGCGACCGAACTGCTGAATCGCCCGGTCCGCGCTCCAGGGCAGCTCCAGTGTTATGTGCACCCGTCGCATCTGGTTGCGAGCTCGCCGATCGCTCTGTAACGATATGCCACTGCTCGCCGCCTCTGAGATTATCGCCACCGTTTTTTCGCCATCCATAAACCTGTGAATTGCAATGCCTATGTCAATGCGTGCCCCAATAGCTTACAGCTTGACTGCACTCACCTCTGCTTCTCCGTGAGATTCAGGGTCTCGAGAGGCACGTCGGTTTCCGATCTCGACTCATATTGAATGGCTCCGTCTTCGGTCTGTACAACTCGACCTTTGCGCCCGGTCATTTCCGCCACGTTTTCCGGGCCACCAAGCTCGTCGATCAGCTGATCGAGCGTGTTCGGTGGCAACTTCTCTCCGAGCTCCTCGATTTTTGCCAGCAACTCATCCTTCATACTGCAGGCGCGTTCGATAGCCACCCTCGAGGGCGCCTGATTCAAGGCTCTGCCGGCCATTGACCCCAACTGTCCACTAGTAGCGGCGACTCCATTACGCTGCTGCTGGCTTTGCTGTTGCTGCTGTTGCTGCTGATTATTAGTCGACGTCTTGCTCGCCAGCATCGACTGTATCTTATCTTGCGTACTGAGTTTCTTCTTGGCTGGTTTCTTCTGCTTCTTTGCACCCTTCTTTTTCCGCCTGTCCCACGGATCTGTACTCGGAGCAATACGAACAATAGATTAGCTGAGTTAAGCGTCACGTGATAATGCGCCGTTTTTTCAGCTGTATTTGAGAAACTGCATGCCACTTACCCACGTCCGAGTCACTGTCGCTGTCGAAAGGATTGTAGTCGGAGCTCGGATTACTTAACTCCTCATCGGATCGTATGTCATCCTCGCTTTCGGAGGCGCTCATTTTGAATTCGGAGCCGGAACTGTGACCGCCGTTCTTTTCCTCGTCGGAATTCTCTTCTTCAGAAGACCAGTGGCGCAGCTTTTTAGCTCTTTGAGCTGCCTGCCGAACGGGCTTGCGCTTGTTATTTGCTGAACTGCCGGCCACATCATCTGCTTCTTGCACTTCCACGGGAAGTGCCTGTGGTAAATCAAGTCCGAGTACTCGGCTTATACGATTTCTATCGGGTGCTGGGAAATGTTTCTCTACCAACGACTGCAGCACTCCCCTAGGCACACCCACGCACAAATTTCGATTTAGTTGTTTAATCAAGCTTACTTTGGTGAAAATTAAAAATTGATGCTTACTTAGCAGTTGACACGAAATCGCTGAGCTCGCCGTCTTCGCGCTCCAGTTGTTCGAGTGTTCTTGCTTCGCCGGTGGACTGAAGACCAATCACCACGCATTTTCCACATTTGACTGCCTCGCGAGCTATTTTGACTGCGTGCTTTACCTTTGCAGCAATACAGAGATACTTAAAGAAACGTTGGTGTGACGACCAAAACTGCCCCCACATGGTTTTTTTCATGCGATTTTCGGCGTCTATAAGTTCAGCAGCTTCGTGGAATCTCTGCATTGCTTCGACCCACTGTGAAGGAAAATATTCGAAGATAAGACCGAATTGATTAGAGTTTAAATTCAAAATCTATTATATAACTCTTACCAGCCTGACTGAATGATCGTATACTTTCATAAAATCATCAGAGAGGGGCACTTCTTCAATTTTGAAAGCAACTCCGTGGAAGCTCAATTGCCTAGCAATATACATTCCTCGAAGTTTCATGTCCATGGCGACTATCTCCATAGCTCCTACACCGCGTTTTTCAACGGCAGATATAAAATCGTTGAACTCAGGAAAAGGTGTGCCTTCGCCCCACATGCCAAGACGCACCATATATGCCATATTTCGTGGCTCTGAAGCTCCCGTTGCACTCGCGTAAACGACACGCGCCTTTGGTAGTTTATTTTGTAATTCTAATACTGTTAGACCTAAAATAATTTCATAAGAATAATATTTACAACATACTCAACTATCACAGGCATTTGTACAATACCTGTTTTAGTTGGTTTTGAACTCCCAGTAGGACAAAGATTTTTTGCTCTATGACACTCGTCATAAATAATGAGCCCATCAAAATCTTCACCACACCATTGTAAAAGCTGCTTCAAACGACTTTTGTACTTTCCACCACTTTGAGACGATTCGCCAATCAAGGCCGAATATGTGCTAAATATGACACCTTTTTTTACATTGCCATTAACAGCTGATGATATTTTTGCATATTTGAACTTATTGAGAGGATGAACCTAAAAAATCGACAAAACAGTCATTATATCAGTTAAAATTTTCTTTTGTTGCATTACTAAAACGTTTTTAAATTTGACTTTCGACGAACACCTCTATTTTAGTTGCTCCAATATCCTTAAGATCACGTTCAGCATCGTATTTCAAATCATTGGAAACAGAAACCCAAATAGCTCGTTTTCGACCTTTCAAATAATTTTCAAAAATAATTCCTGCTATTGTACGACCTTTCCCTACACCAGCACCATCGCCGACCAAAAAACCAGCTCGAGATCCATCAGGCAAGAGGTGCTCATGTTGTTGTGATGCATAAGTGATGGATTCTAGTTGCAAAGCTGACAGAGCACCAGACTTTATAGTTTCATCAGGAATTGAAAGCTTGTACCAAACATCTGTAGGTTCAACACTAGACAAAGAGGCAGTTTCAACAACTGGATCTGGATGTTTACGTCCAAGTTTCACTTAAATTAATAAATCCATATCTTTTAATCAAATTAACATTCATTGGCTAACCATCATTTCATAAAATGTGAATAAAAAAGTAGTTACTTACATTTAGTTGGCATGTAGTCTGCATAAGTTTCAGCCACCCCCATTTCTTCGTCTTCTACATCTTCTTCTTCTGGGATGGTTGGTTGCATATTCATTTTGTTGGGGTCAGAATTCATCCACATGTTAGATAATCCTTTATCTAAAATTTTTAATTATGATAAAATATTTCTTAAATAATCATTTTGTACTTAGTACTCGCAGAAATGAGATGATGAATAACAATTCTCATACTTGCAAGCCCTGCCATCCAATTGGGATTCATGCCAGCTTGATTCAGGAATTGCATAAAAGGGTTCATGTTCATGTTCATTCCAGCCATTCCCATAAAGTTTCCCATAAGACTATTCATGTCTACATCTATACAAAAATAATATATATATGAAAAAAAATACTTTTTAACAAATACATTCAGAAATGTCATAACTGACTCTGTAAAAAATTTGCTGTGTTGAAGCTTGGTAAAGGTGGAAAGTTGAAATTTCCAGGTGAAGCTCCTAGTGAATTACCCATAGAATTCATATGGTTCATTTGATTTCCAGGCATAAAGTAAGCTGGCATACCTTGAGTATTACCAGCCAATGCCATCATGTTTTGACCAGTAGAAACATTTTTTCCCATTGCTCCAACAGGCATCTTTGATCCAAAAGGTTGATCAAAACCTAGAATACAAAATGCAAAAATGATTGAATTAAGATCAGAATAATAATCGTAAAATTAAAAAAAACATGAATTATGTACCTTCTTTGGTTTTGATATCTTGGTTGCCCATAGCGATGTTAGGTTTCTCATCCTTAATTATGTTCATGCCAGCTGCTGTAGCAAGATCTTTACCTCCACCTATTAGAAAAGAATATACAAGATAATAAAGATGATAGCTTCTCAAAACAAAAGCAACACGGTATAAGTTTTCATACCTGGTACTTGGATCTTATCGGGATCCTCATCGTCGTCGAAATCACTACCACTGCTATCATCGCTCATTGCTACTTTTGGCTTCTTGGATGCCTGTATAAAATACATCAACAAATTAGTAATATTGATACTCTATGGAGATGTTCATGAAACAAACAGATATGGTCGAGATGGATCGTGCATTTAGAGCCGGCATTGAAAACTCACACGGAAAAGCAGAGGCTCGTCGATGAGGTAATGAAATATTCACTTGAGAAAAATCAAGACAGTCGGCCGTCTATGAGAAACGTGCCGAAGATAAACAAAAAAAGGCGACGGCGTGGTGAATGAACAAATCAAGCAAGATATAGATGGAGGAGAAAAAATACGAATACGGTCGAAGAAGCAACCTGCAGAGCGGAACTGAGCGAACGAGCTAAGAGATGAGCGACGAGCACGAAACAGCAAGTTCGAGGGAGATGGCGTAGCACACGAGCAAGGCAAGAGGTATAGAGAGACAAGCCTGTGCGCGTGCGGGATTGTACGAGAAAAGGACAGAGATAGAGGAGAGGCGAAGCGGGCCAGAGGGGCGCAATTCGCACTCGGGAGAGGGAGAAAAAGAGAAAAAGAAGGGACGACAGAGAGAATGAGAGCGACAGGGACGGCCAGATGCGCAGGTAAAGGTAGGTAAGCGAGTCGCGCGGCCGACAAAAAACGCGAGAAAATGAAAAAATAAATACGCCGATGGAAGCAAAGGCAAGGAAGCAACAGACTGACAGCTCAACCAAGCGGCGTCCTCGGGTTGCCAAGTGGTTTTTCAAGAGCTTACCATGCTATGTCAGCGATGTCAAGTGTTGAAACTGGCCAAAATCGGCGATGAGCCGGGTAAGATCCGACCAGGAGTCGCTCCAAAGGTGTGCACCACAAAGCTGCTTAGTCTACCAGCAACACGCTAGTGTTCATGTTTGATGTTATTCTATAGTTAATTTCCACCGGACAGGAATATAAGGCACACGCGAAGACGCGCGCGCGATGTGCACCCTGCTTGGATCTCTGCACGCTGCCGAATCGCGGGCCACAATCGTTTTGCGCGATATCGCGCTCTCGCTCCTCTCTCTCTCTCTCTCTCTCTCTCCCTCTAGCGCGCGCAAGTCGCTGCGTGCATGCATACGTTTCCCCACCTTTCATCTTCTCCTCTTCGCCAACCTACGCTATCGCAAGCTCATTACACAGTCACCCGTAAAATAATTGAGAATTTCTATTTTATTGCATGTAAATTTCTAATTTAGTTTGCAATACTCTTTTAATCGAAACCAACAAGTATAATGAAATATTGATCGTAGCATTTTTCTTATTATTAAGATGTACCATTATAGTTCAGCCAAGCTATATTGTGAATCAACCTTTATTGAACGAATCCCCACCGTACTTCCAGCAAACTCGGAGCAAATACAGCGTTGCCAAACTGTCCTTATCAACTCGTTCGTTTAATGCCTGCCAACTCTAGCGGTAATTGTTTTAACTACGAAAGGATGTGTGGTGTCGAGTGAGATGCCACAGATGATTATGTTTCAAATATTAAACAATTTGAAATATAAGTGGACGTTTGTCGACTATTTAAACGAACAAGTACACGTTCAAATTGGGTAAAAATTATCAAGATACGTACTTTTATTATAAATCACATAATATTACACATAGTTTCATACGTATCTACAGATTTCGTGTTCAAAAAAAATTTTCGGATTTTTATATATAATTATAGATGGTACGTATAGTCAGTACGTATTGATGAACATCTGATAAATAACCGTTTGTAGTTTCTGTTGGTGACGCTCATGCTTGTAGTGTATCCGAGTAAATTTGGCAACATTGATACGATGCGCAGCGCCTGATCGTTATTCGTTTAAAGTATTCGCGGTAAAAAGAAAAGAAGAGTATTTGAATTTCAAGTCGAACAAGCTATTATTACAAGAATTTCCATCGCGAGATTGTTGTATTTATAAAATAACGATGAGTTTTTGGAAAAGTTACCTAAAATTATAGTCCTGTCAATTGCATTTGATGCAATAATAGCGATTACCGTAAAAAAAACTCGATTCAATCGCTAGTAGCGGTAGCTTGTAGCATGCACGCACTAAGTATATAGAAGGCAGTCAACCTACAACGAATATTGATCTGCTTTCTCCTTACGCCACCACACGGTCCTTCATGAAATTCGATTGAGTGGTTTTTCTTCAAATTATAAAATAGTACAAGTGACTTATTACTTTTACTTAACAAACTTTATTGACATTATTTTATTTTATGCACGAAAAAACTTATTAAGAAATGGTTAGGTAAAAACGTCAATTTCAAGTCATAATTGAATATTTCTAAAAATAAAGAATAACATGCAAAATCTTATATTGTTATGCATGTATAAAAAAGTTATGGCAGTCAAATAATGATAGTTGAATCAGAATCCCATTGAGTACCATTTAACCTTGCAGGTACATTCTTAACTAGTTTTTTATGAGTTGGTGGTGTATTTTCTTGCAAATTTTTGTTATCATTAACGAATAATTTTCTATGTCCTAAAAATTGTTGAGGAGAATTCACTGATAGTGTTTGAATTTGCCCATTACTATTTGATCTATTACTAAAGGGAGTGCGGCTCTGAAAATGGAGGAAAATATCTGTATATAAAATTTATAGAAATTGCAGCTATGGTTACATGACGCATTTTATACCTTTGAAAATTCAGTAGCAAGTTTTAATTCTGGACTAAATAATTTCTTTTCATCTGATAATTTATTTTCCTTTTTAGTTTCTAAATTTTTCTTATCAGACTTTACTTTATTTTCTTTGCAAGATGTTTCAATCTTTTCAATTTTTTTAACTTGATTATTTCTTATGCTGTTCATTATGGAACAGTCATCGAATTCAATTAAAATTTCTTCTTTTTCCGGTAATGATGAATTTCTCTGAGAATTATTTGAATGGCTATTACTAGGATTTTCAGGCAGTTTAGAATATGAGTCCCTCCAAACTTTAAACTTTTCCTCAGGATCAGTTGCTTTATTTACGTTTTCTACATCCCTTGGAGTATTAACACTATTTTCAAAATCAGCATTTGTACTATTAACTATAAGAAGCTTTTCGTTGCTTTCAGTATTTTCATTTTTTATTTCAATGTGTGTTTCTGATGGGGAAGTTTCTTTCTGAGACTTAGGTATGGAGTTTTCACTAGATAGATGTAGTTTAACAGTTTTTTTATCATCTGATATTAATTCAGATTTTATATTATTGTTACCAATCAATACAGAAGATCTATTTTCATTCAGATTATCTTTTAAACTGCAAGATCTCCTTAAACTAACTACAATGTCTGGAAGCGCTTGAATTTCAGGAATATTAAACAAACTTGTCGTTTCACAGTATGATAATTTGATACAAATATCTAAACTAGAATTAGATTTTCTAAGTCTATTTTCATTATTTTCATCCTGAGAATTGAACTGCTTTAAAACTTTTACTGTTGAAATAGGTGTTCTATCAAAATCACTAGCAGGTGATCTGGGATCTAAATCATTTGAATTAATTTTTAATTCGGCATGAGGCAATTTTAACTTGGGTAGACTCTCACTATCAACATCCTTTGTTAAAGAATCCAAATTATTTTGTAACTAAAAATAAACGAATAAGAGTTTATAGTGAATGCATATAGTATTGAAATATTTTTAAAATAAAAGAATAATGTTAATGTTATAAGATATTTAATTGTAAGTAACATTTTCTTACTAAAATAGGAGTTCTTGGATATGCTACATTGGGCGATCTTGGGTCAAGACAACATTTTTCAGTAGTATATACAGAATCTATATCAGTTTCTAAGTAAGGCTTTCTTGTCTTTTCAGTTTGTAAGTACTCTGGTATAGCATTTATTCTTTTTCTTGATTCTAATAGATAATTCTTCTGAAATTACAAATAAATTATTAAGTAAAATTTAATACTCATCAATTATAGTTATATGTAGGCAAATTTTGATTAACTTTGATAGGAGTTTGCATTATTTCTTCATTATCTAAAGGTTTTTCTGATGTTTGACCATTTTGAAGTACTTGGTTAGAGGTAATGTTTGGTTCTTGAAGCGAATTAGTATGCTCATTCACTTTGTTATCATTAACAACATTGTTGCTGAATAATTTACTGGAATAATTACCCATAATCTGTTAATCAGAAAAAAAAGCAAATAATCAATTCAATGCTCAGATCTAACAGAATATTATATATTATAAATTCAGAGTACATTTTGAAATATCAGAAAAACACACTAATTGTACAAAGTCTAAGTTATTGTATGTTCATATTTATAACAACATTGAATATTCAGATAAGTCACAATACCTTTTCAGTAGAAAATGTCTCGTAGATATTTACTTACTAGTATACTAGGTACTAATGCCAATCGCAGTTTGCGTAAACACTATCTAATATTCACTTTGCCAAGTTTAATTATTACATTATTCGATAATATTTTTGATAAAACTGTTTCGTTTATCAAATCAAATTGTCACAACGTCAAAAAAATAAGCACAAGTAAAATCTTTCAATTTGAAAAACTATCAGACGACATAATGTTTTGAAAAAGCCGTTAACTATAGTGTATCGTTATTGCTCCTCGTTTTCACAATTCCTCTGTTTGAAATTTAAATCTTGTGTTTCACAATTCTATATTCCAGATTCCAAGTAACATCCATAAACAGCTGTGTAAACACTACTCAACATTGATTCGCTATCCGATGATTGAGCATCGATAGCATTAAATTGATTTTTTTCTGGTATGTTGCGGAAATATGATTTGTCAAAATAAGCGTTTAACCTAATTTCGTATGATATTGTCGATGCTCAATTGTTGAAATTAATTTAGAGTTTAAACTTCGCGGATCACGCCTGGCAGTGAATACAATTACACACATTGACCAAATCAGAATAGCCAAATATGTATGTATATATATATGTATGTACATACATACATATGCATTCATATATAGGTCTATTCCATATTCCAGATTCCAAATTGTTACGTAACCAACCAAATACACAAACGAAATTGATACTATTGAGAATAAGATGAGAAGGCCTTATATCTTTGCTGAGGAAATATTCCTGTAATATTCTTGTTCCGTGTAATTTTGCACCTCCCGGAAAATTCGTATAGTTTATCACCTACCTCTGTGTACATACTATATGGTTTAAGAAGTTGAAGAGGTTAGACTATGAATATAATTACAGTCTATAGTCTATACTTTATTTACTAAGTCTCCATTTCTCATGTAAACAATCTAAAACTCCACGCTATCTGAAAACGTGTGAAAGGGAAATATAAACACCGATTTCTCAAAAATAAATAATAATTATAATTTAATATGGTTAAAAAATCAGAACCTGATTCAAGTAGTTCTGAAGATGAAATATGTATGGAAGCTATAAAAGAAGCGGCTGATCAAGATCTGTTGACAAATTTATTATTACAGTCTGAAGGTACATAAAAACTAATCAGAATTAATGCTCATACAGTTTGTCATCTATTTCTTTTAATTATTAATTCTAATTATGAGTACATTATATGTTACTTCTATAGGTAAAAAGAATAATATTGTGAATCCGGTACATACACCAAATGAGGTTGATGTAAATAACGATCAGTTTTCAACTTATGGACTTACACAATCATGTCGCGATTTCATAGCCAAAAAATTAGTTGAGAAGCTGAACGTGTAAGAATTGTGATAATTATTTATAATTTTCTTTTTTAACTATTAATAACTTTTACTGGTTTACCAAACTAAAACAGATATCTACCTGTATTCATTTCACTTTCAAATTAATCTTATATATGTAATAAAATTATTATATGTTCCAGAGATATTGTTTTAAAGGATGCAATCAAGTTAAATAACATTAAGGAGAATATTTCACGAAAACCATCAGGAATAAAACTTTTTAATTGTTCTAATACAATATTAACAGAAATATTTGATGACGATAAACAAAACAAAATAGACAGAAAAAATGTATCAAAGGCATTTGATGAAAAAACAAATTTATCAAGATGTAAAGAAGTTGCTATAGATTCACAAGCTATACTATCTCAAGATGATCTAAAATTTTGGGTCAATAGAAAACATAGCCAAGAGTTCAAATATAAAAAATTGAAAAGTGGAACATTGTTGCAAATTGAGTAACTAATTTACGGCCAGAATTAAAGATAATACATGACTGTGATATATTTTGTACAATCATTAATTAAATCTCAAATAAAGTAAAGACAACATTTCTATAATTTAATTTTTCAATGGAATTTATCAAAGATATTTATAAAATGATCTTTTTCATCAAAATTATTGTTGTCCGTTGAACTATATAAAGTTTATTAATTTCATTTCAACATCTACGGTTTACTATAAACAAAATATTTAAAGCCTACATTGTACCATAAGGTACAGAATACTATCAAAATATTTTACTTATCATTTCTATAAATTTAATTTTTTAATTTTATCTGGATTATCATACTAACTATTGATATGTGATAAAAATCCTCATGTGACCTTTATTTATGACTATAAATTTCTTTTATAAAATGAAAAGTCCGTTAATTTTCATGCTTTTTTAATAAATATATTAAATAACAAGAATCATTTATAGGAGAGCATGGTTCCCATCTCTTTCAAATGCACATAAACAACATTCTAACGAAAATGCCTTGCTAAATTCGATGACGATAATACTAATTCTATGCAATTTGAGTTTACATGAATTTAAATATTTTGTTTATTTAACATAATGCTTTTTTAATTGAACAGGAAAGTTAAAATTGTATTTATAAGAAAAGAAGATAATATTGAACATGTAAACTTTTTGCAAGAAATCTGATTGGAAAATAATTGACCTAAAGTATTCTACCAAAATATTTCTGCAAACTAAATAAATATTTGAAATTGAATTATATACTAGATTATGTGAGTATTATTTAAAAGATGATCTAAGGTACGACTATGCTGTGTAAAATATTATATACCAATTAATTGTTTGTCAAATTTTCTGTAGAAAGATATAATGTTAAATAATATTTGATTGCTTAAAAAAATAGTATTTTATCTTTCCTGTTCAATAGAAACGCATTATATTAAATAAACAAAATTTTTAAGTTGTTGAATCAAATCTTGTAGAATTATTATTTATGCGAAACGAACTCGCCCTTATAATTGTTCACATCTTTCGCTATGAATTATTAAAAATGATTTCAAGAAATCTATACATTATTAAAATATCGTGTGCATTGCATATGTGTTGAAATATTCCAATCGCATCATTTAAAGTTAGTGTAAATTATCACGTACTCCTACTTACTTTCCTTGAATATATAATTTTCTATCTATACAAAAAAATGAAGCGAATTAAAGAGAAATTATTTGATATTAGTTTAAATTAGCAATGATCGGAATGGTGTATGAAACACTATCATATTTATGCAATTGCCATCAATATTTTTGCATACTAATTATACCGATTATAGTTTTCATAGTAAATTCAATCGGTTTCTATTGTAATTGACATGTTTACTAATTTTAAATAACTGACTGGAATGCTCTTTATATTATATATGTTTTTAAATTTGTTTTTATTTATTTAAATCCACACTATAGAATACAAGTTTTGTAACGATCTACAAGATGATGGAGGATTATACACAATCAACTTATATCTATAACTTTAATACTATAACTTTAATACTTTAATAATAATAATAATAATAATAATAATAATAATAATAATAATAATAATGATAACAATAGACAGAGCTTGGATATTCGTTGCTACAGTTAAGTATAATAATTACCAAAAATCAACCAGTATTGTCGAAAACGCGTAAGTTCGCTTAATAATAATGAATTACTCGCAATTCATCGAAGTCTTTTAAATAGAATACGCAAGTAGAAAACTCAACAGTATATATGAAAGTAAAGCTGTATAACAGCCCAAGCATTAGTAGAATATTTAAGTATAACACGAAGTCGAGTAAACACATTGCAATATATAATAATGTTGTTTCATGATCGTTGCATCGCAAATAATGCGACAGCTCTGTTTATTGATAACTTGTACTGTCTGGATATAGGCGAGGCATAAATCAATGACAACGATATTTATGCGTGTTTTTTACAAGATACAAAGAAATTTTACACAATTGAAGGAGCTTGAAGCACAATCAGTTCGAAACTCATACATAGGTCTACGGTTTTGAGCGCCATAATTAAACTACGGCTTGCCGGAGTGGCATGTCGCTTGTTGGATTTGATTAAAATGAAATAACTTGCAACAATCGAATAGTGTGCTGCATGTAGCAAGTACGAGGGTAGGCTGACAAGTTTTATATCAAAACTATTTTGGCACTACAATCGTATATATTTGGAGAAAGGCCTGTTGGAACGTCAGTCGTTTCGGATGCTCAGTTCTTTATCGACAGTCATTAGCTCCAGTCAGTCGTAGTGATTGCGTACAAATGCAATGACAATACAAATGAAAGATCGCGCTCCGGTGGAAATGACAACTCGATGATACGAGCGTTCTAGACGATAATGTCAAATTAATTGTGCTCAAGCATTGATTGAAACGACGAAATAGTTTTGGGACCGACGAGTCACGCTATCAGCGCCACGTGAGACATAACGAGCTCTAGGTGTGAGATACGGTCGTAAGGTAGATATTATTATTATCATCATGACTATTATTATTCTTACTATTTGCTTGCACCACGCTGAATACAATATCTATTGAAGGACTGATAAGGTGTGTGTGTGTGTGTGTGTGTGTGTGTGTCTGCGTGCATGCGTGGTAGGTGTGTGCGATATTATATTAATTATATAAAGGATATACGTAATTGTTGGTATTCGCGTGAAGACCTATCTCGTTTTGCATCTTTCTTACCGAATATACACGAGTGTGGTGTACAATAGCTATTGGATGAGTGACTAGCACGCGTTGAAATGAAGAAGATGTAGGGCGCGCATCGAACATACGCCTCTACGTTTCATTTAATTTCTTTACTCTCTCTACGTATTCGCATTAACAATACTTAGTTTTATTACAGCGGCTTTATACGCTCCACGGATCATATATCGTTAGATTCTATATTCAGAACAGGTCTGCATCGCTAAGGATGCAATGTTGCAGTTCACACACACATATATGTATTGAATACTTGGCAAAATATTCGCGAATAAGCTACCAAGCTCTTTATTATGGTCTCTTTATTATTGGCAATCTTAGGCTCTGTAATAAGCAATCTCTTAGCCAAGCCTTTTTTTTTCAAATATACATCTATGCACCATCGCATGTCCTCAACTGTTTCATTGTACATTTTGCAAACGACTTTTCCATGCTTTCGCTCAGCGCTTTTCCGATAGTCGTTTGAACGCTTGCGTCCATTTCAAAGCGATCCAATCAAGAATGAACGTATGTGAGATGTCTGTGGATTGGCCAATTTTAATGCATGCCTATCGCACGCGATATCTTTTGTACAGAAGTGCAACGGCGTGCAGCAATCGAGTGGATAATCAATTGATTTGAGATTAGAAAATTCGTTGGAGCTCAATGCTGTGATGTCTCAGGTCAAAGCTTTAATGTCTCGCTGTGATGTCCGACTAATAATCAGTTATTGGACATTTTAAAAATTCATCGCAGATGCGTCATTCATTATCATATTTTGTTTGGGCGACTCAATCAGACAGAGTATATCGGCTAATCGAAGACTGTAAAATTTATAAAATTTTCTCATAATATTATTATTCCTCACAATAATAGGTTTCGATTTACAGGTGTAAAATTTGTATCGATGATTGCAAATGTCTCTATTTGACAGGCACCGTAATCATTTCAATTAAATAAACAACAGAGATCGATCCTTGACCACACTTTATCCATACGATGACATCAATGACAACAGATTATCAGAGGACTCGCAGCTTTTCCAAATAAATGCGTCATAACACTATCCATAATCTTCCCTTCCCTTGTCCTTTCTTTACATTTGTATAAATTCTGTACACAGCTCAGTTTTAACAATTATATCGATTCAAAGAATGTCTTTATAATTCCACTTGAATGTTCTAATTGCAACTATCTTTTCCTTTTTACAGCTCTCGGAAAATCCTAATAAATATATTTTCACTATTAACTGGATTTAGGCTTTATTTCAAAACGATTTCCAATGGTCTTAGTCATCAGGTATTGGCATAGGATATGTGAAAACTCACTTGCGCATTGGATTAATGAACAGTTTGGAACAAGGCTTGCATTTGATGCATTTGAAATATACACATCGAAATAATTGTCTTGATTTTAATTGTATCTTTCGAAATACGACGAAGCTAAATTGATTCTCCAGTTTGTCATTCAATTTTCATTGTTTCAAGATTCGAGTGGCATTCTCATTGGCTCGCTCTAAATGCGTCAAGCTATCGGTAGTTAAGTCAGTCGCTACTTTATTGCTTTTTCTTGCCCGCGCTGCACTTTTCAGCATCTCTCAGTCCGTGCACGCGTCAACGTCAAGTCTCATCGAATAACGCATATCGAAACAAAGAATCAAGCAGTGCTCCAAAAACACGCTCTCCTCGCGTTCGCTACTTTCCAAATATTTGCCGCTTCCAATACTCAAAGAAATTTACACTGCCCAAACATTGCATTCCTAAAAAGTTTACAACAATGCTCGTTGCTTAGCCCCTCTCTCAACCGAGCTAACCTTTGCCGTCGCTTTTCCAATTCAACGGCAACATTTATCGAATGGATTTTAGATCATGCGAAATCTTTTCACGGTAATTGTACTTTTGCCTGGAATGGTCGACGCTTCCATCAGTATTCCGATGATATGACGATGTGATTTTTCCACTCTTATACAATAGATGACTAATCGCTCTTCTACACACGATGCTAATAATCTATAACAACAAGACTTTGTTTCCCACTTGCACTGCGTGTTGCCTTCGTCGTGGATGTATATATATATATATATATATATATATATATATGTATGTATGTATGTATGTATGTATATAATTATAGTTTCGATGATTGAATCAATAACTAATACAGTACTGTAAAAGCACCGGCAAAGATTTCGCGAGTAATGAGGCATAGGAACGCAGAGGGGTGAGATGGGAGGCGAGTGCGGATGAGGAAACTGGGAGGACCGGAACAGGGCTGTTATTGCTGGGAGGCTGTTGCGGCCAGGGGGTGCAGAAGGGACGAGGCGGGGGCTTACATGTCGCCGAAGATGCCGGCGAAGGTCTTGCGCAAGTTCTTCATGGTGTCCTCGGTGTCCTCGGCGGCGGACTGCGACTGGCTGCCCTGGCGCTGGAAGGGCAGGCGCGAGGTGGGTGGCACGGGCGGCGGCTCGTCCCTGCGCCCGACCGACGGCGTGCTGCTCACTGTGCTCGACTGCGAGGCTGCAAAGCGAGTCGCGGTCGTGAGCGGGCTACGACCGAGGTCGGAGTCGGGGCCGGGGCGCGTACCTTGGGAGTCGCGGCGCTGCGCCGACGGCTGCTGGTCGGCCGGCAGCGCGGGCGGCGGTTGCGCGGGCGGCTGGGCGGGTGGCCCCTCGTCGCCCGGGCTGCCCAGCTGCCCCGAGCCCGAGCCCGAGAGCGAGCCCGAGAGCGAGCCGCGCGAGTGCGCGCGCACGGGCGGCGCGTGCTGCACCTGCGCGGCCTGCGCGGCCGGCGCGGCCTGCTGGGCCTGCTGGGCCGGCGGGCCGGGCAGCCGGCAGTAGGCCTGCATCTTGGCGGCGACCAGGTCGGCGATGTGGCGGCGGTCCTCCTCCTGCGAGTCGCCCATGAGCGAGAGCGCGCTGTCGTTCACCTCGATGATGTACTCGCGGCCGTCCTTGCCGACGAGCAGCTCGATGGCGCAGATGTCGAGGCCGCCGAAGAGCTGGCCCACCTGATCGACCCAGGCGCGGTGGCGCTCGGTCACGGCCAGCTGCTCCAGCATGGCCGAGCCCGTGTTGGACTTCCAGTGGCCGCTGATGCTCTTGCGCATGAAGGCCTTGTAATTCTGGCCGATCTTCTGCACGTGCACGTCGTACTTGGTGTCGATGTAGGGCTCGGCGGTGCAATAGTGCTTGCCCATGGCGGCCATCGAGGCCAGGTCCAGGAACTCCTGGCTGTTCTCTGCCCTGGCCTTGCCCAGGCCGCTGTGCGCGTGGCCCAGCTTCACCACCAGCGGGTAGCGCGCCGCCCTGACCTGCAACACGCGCGAAGCAGTGAGCCACGAGACGGGGACGGCGGGGCAGGATGGACCAGGAGAAGAGGCGTCGGAGGCTGGAGAGCGGAATGCGCGCGGGCACGCGGAAGTGCGCCGTGCTCTAGCGGAGAGGGCGGAGAGGGCGGAGAGGGCGGAGAGGGCGGAGAGGGCGGAGAGGGAGAGGCCGCCGAGCGCGGCCGCGAGAAGGTAGGCAGTAGGTGTGCGACTCGCGCGCGCGCCGCCACGCCGCCTCGGAGTCCCGCCGCGAGCTTGCCCGCGCGCCTCGGCGCTCAGCCGACGAGCCAGCTCGCTGGCAGGACGTCGGCCCCTCGGCAGGCTCGGGCCTCGGTCGCCTCGCTCTCTCCCGGCAGAGTGCGCTTCCCTCGCCGCACGCAGGTCAGCCTCGCTCGTTTCGCCGACGCCCGGTTGCCCGCCGCCCGCCCTAACGTGGACATCTCGCCAGCGAAGCCGCAGGTATTTCGAGACCGCGACCGGGTGAACGGCTCCTGCGTGCGCGCGCTCGTCCGAGGCGCCTCCTCGACCGTCGAAGCGAACGCGCGGAAGCGGAGAACGAGGCTCGGCGCGACCGGCGCTCGAGTGGTCGCGCGTGGCCGCCACGAAAATAGCCGGCGCGCAAGATTCGCCGGAGCCGAGTGGCGCCGGCGCAGCGGCCAGCGCGGCTAGCGGGGCTAGTGGGTCGCGGGCTCCTTGCCGAGAAGCTCAAAGCTCTATTTCGGTGGCACGGCAGACGCGATGAACCTCGTTAATTGACGCGCTGCCGGCTAGGCCACTGCTCGCTCTGCTGCTCGCGGAGGAAGGCAACAGCGAGCGGCCAAGGGACGTCGGCGCTCCGCGACCGCGAGCGAACGATCGTCTTTGATACGCGCGGCGCAAGTTTCGCGGCCTCGTTGACTCGCTCGATTTCATCGGCGGATGCCGTAAGCGCGCGCGCCTTTCTCGCGCGCAATCCGAACAATCGGCGTTTGTGCAGCTGCCTCGCGCATAAGCTACGGCTGACTCATCGGCCGCTCAATAGAGCCGGTCAGCTCTCCTTTCCGCGTCGCCGACAACCTCGAGCCGGCGCTTCTTCCGTGCCGTTCTCGACGTGCGGAATCGCACGCTCGGCACCCAGCTACGGCTTCGTCAAAGTCAACGCGCGATATTCGGCGTTCGATCGACCGGAGCCGCCGTCGGAGCTCCGTGCGCGCCTCGGCAACCTTGGCTTTGTTTGCCCGCTGAGCGAAAGCCTCCTCGTTTCTTTTTCTTCTGCCGTTCTTCTCTCGCGAGGCTTGCGCCCGCGCAAAAGCCGCAAGGGCACTCGCCGCGCGTCGAACGCGCAGACTCGGAAAACGGAGGAAGCCGACGCGAAACGTTTTCTCGAAGCCTCCGCCGACTGCAAACTCCATTTAGAACGCGCGAGCGTACGCTGCTGCGATAGCCGCGCGAGCTTCGAGCAGGCACGTGGCACGCTCACTCGAGCCTGATTTCCGCGCACTCCGCCTTCGCGGAGAAACGGCCCACGCGCCGCGCAAGCTCGTGAACTTGCGAGCGGGTGCGCAGTGTTGCGCAGCAGCTTTCCGCCGCTCTCGGTTTCTCGCGATTCGACGTAGCTTCTCATTATCAAGGGCCGAGGGCGTCCACCAAACAGGCCGCGGGTGCAGTCTTGCTTTGGGAGCAACGCTGTCAGATCGACGGCCTGCTCAGGCTTGATTTCTTCGGTAAATCGAAGTCTGCTTTTTGCGCCGCACGAAATACATGGTATTTGGCCTCGCGACAGCTACGCTGCCACCCAGCGAAGCCAACTGGTCGACCCAGTATTTCGAGGAAAATCTGCGAAGCGCTAGCTAGCGGTCCAAGCCTGTCCGTCCGCTCGTTAATTTGACAGCTTGGCGCCTTCTTTTATCGTTTGCTCTTCGTTGCGTAATTCTTTTCCGAAGGACTTTTCGCGATGACGTTGCCGTGTAGATTCGACGACGACGCGACTTGCCGTCCTTCGACAGGATCAATGACGGCAGCCTTTACCAACGGATTTCTTCGCTCTGCAGGTGCAGGTGCAGGTGCAGACGCGTAGCTTAGCCTTTTCGCCTTTACTACTACCGGCAGTTTACTTGCGTCGAACGTAGGCCAAGCGCAAATGTGAATACTCTTGGGCCTAAGTATCAGAGGGCTCGCGGCGCGTTCCGCCGACTCGACAGCGCATCGTGGCCAGACGAATCGTTGGGCGTGCCTCGCCCCAGGAGTCGCAAGCTCCCGGTCCGATCGCGCTGAGCGGAGGGATGGCTCGCGGACGGAGTTGCGACCGAGTCGTCACCTCCGCGCGGCTCGCTTCGCTCCGCTTTACCCCGCCGAGGCGCGTGAGCTCAGCCCGGCGGCGACGGCGGCGGCGCTGTATAGTGGCGCTGCTGGTGGCACTGCGCGCGCTCGGAATATAATAACCGCGCTAATAGCATGCAACTGGGCCAGTCTGCTTGCCAGCTCTCCGCCGCTCGCGTATACCACGCATGCTCCATTCCAACTGTCGACTGTTTACACCTTGCGCGCTCGCAGTCGAAGCGGCCGATCGCGCCGCGCGCGCTCAGTGCTACCGACGCTTCCGCGGCGATCCCGAGACTGCGAGCCGGCCGGCGATCATCGCTCGCCACTTCTTCCGCTTTCAGTTGGGGGATCACCACCTCGCTGCTACCAAAGTTAGTGCTCAGTTTTTAGCTTTGTTATTGCTCGAGGGGACACGTCGCTTTCGTCGACAGCTGCCCCCCGCGCCTCGCTCTACCAACTGTTAACTGCTTGTGCCGAATCGCGAATGCAGGTACTCGTGTCCGTCGGCAACGCGCTTCTTTCGTTTCTTTTTAGCGACGCGATTCTTCATTGACTCTGCGCCAACTATTTACTCAGCTTCCTAGTGTAAAAATAACTTTGTGCTCTCTGGAATGGACCTTCGATGACCTTTTTGCCGTGTTATTGACACCGTTTACTTGAGCTGTGCTAGCGTCAGCTGTTCAAGAGACTAAATCGAGTATTCGGTCGTTTGTTTTTTCTTTCTTTCTTTAATGGCAAAATAACAAATTAAATGTCTACGCGTATCGCGATTATACGGTCGAAGCGCTTGACCTCGAGAACGGCTCTTATTTGGATTCCGAAGTGATGTAGGTTAACGACAAATTTATTTATAGCGACTGACGACACCTCATCGATCCAGCAGTAATCACGGCAATCGTTGTTATTAATCGTTTATAAAATCGCTCCAGCGTACACCTCGCGATATTCAATTCCGCTGAAATTCTTGAAAGAATGCCAAATAAATAAATCTTTTGGGTAATACACACAGTTGTGAAAAATGCGAGTCGGCGTAAATATTTTCATTTGCGATCGAGCGCGCGAATGCAGATAAAATAAGCAATGACAGATCTGATGCTGTGGCAGCTGTACGCATAAATGAGAGGCAGGCAACAGTTGGCATTACAGCGTTGCGCGTAGAGCTGTCTGTCGGAGGTGTCGCGCGCCGAGGAAATCGCGTGGACCGGTTAGCTCTCGCTGGATTTTATAATAAAGTTGACCAATGGCCGTGCAACTCTCGCGTACTACGCCTGCATCCCGCGGAAACCTGACGTTTCCTACGCCGTCGTAGCTCGACTGTCGGCCAATTTTTGCATTTAACAACGATCGCGAACATTTTTTTTTAAATTTTCTCCGACAAGCGCGACCACTTGATCGAATACGTAGAACGCCGATGTCCCCCGGGAAGCTTCGTCGATTCCCGTATAAACTGCTTTGCTTGTGCCAAGCCTGCTCACACACACACACACACACCACACAAGTGGAGAAGCAAAATAAAAAATGGACTATCGTGGATCATCAATAAAATGCAGAGATAAGTTGGGAGAAAAGCGCGACGCGACGCGTAGACGAGTAGGAATGGCTGAGTCGAGTGTGCAATTGCAGCGCGATCGAGAGAAGGCAAAGAAAGGCGCGGAAGAAGAGAAAAACGAAGAGCGTGGATAATTCGTCTTGTGGGATAAGAGGCCGCGAGCTAAATATCTCTTGGGCGGTCGATGATTCATGCGCACATCGAATATTCAAGATGCGGATTTGCCTACATAAAAAGCTAACTGCTGCGTGTGCCTGCGGGCCTTCTCTGGCTCTCTCTCAGCTATTACTTATTTTGCGCTCCGCCACTACAGCCACCTGTTTCAATTGCCAATTGCTCGCCCGAGTCGCTTATCGTTTGCGTGCCACTGCGATTGCAGCTTTCCTAATGGCAGAGTCCGACGCACGGATCGACGTGCTGCTCAATTGATTAACCGACTTTATCCGTATCGTGAGAGAGCGTTCCAAGCTTGGCCGCACAGATTGCAAGCACGAACGTACGGCTTTCGTTGGAGGCGCAATCGCCCAAGGAAATCGCACGTGACTATGATAAGCCAGTTTTCGAGCAGCGAAGGTAGCGGGCGAGCGGTGGCTGCCGGCTCGAAGCGCGCAGAAAAGCAAAAAACCGCGAGAACGGAGGCGAGCAGCCGATCGCTAATAATAAGCCGGCGGATTAAGTTGGCGTTCCGCGAATCTTCGCAGCCTATGAATTGGCGCAGCTGCGCGCAAGCCTCCGCTCGGTCGACTTGTATTTACTCGGAGCTAGGCGAGCGTTCGCTCGAGGCTTTCGCCAGAAGCCATCGGGCCACTTAGCCGCAAGCCAAAGGGCAGAGATTGGCTTCCGCCTCGCTTCGACGTTCGAGAGCGTTGCCCGGACAGCGAGCTGGCTGCACCGACACTGGTCGGCTGTGCTTCCACCCAACCCACAGGACGCATTAGTTGCGACTGCGTCGGGCCAATTTTGACCGCGAGCACTTTCATCGGGCGGCCGCAGTTACTAAGCGCTCGTCTGGTCGGCCGCTGACCGATGAGTGGCGTCAGATCGGGAAGCGCTCCGAGTTCCGATTGCAAGTTCGATCCAACGCCTGCGGCCACGTAGTAGATAGCGGCGAGTAATTCGATTCGCTCGAATTGCGGCGTTGGCTCGGCTCGTTTGCCGATCGAATGTCAGTAACGCGCCTCTGTTCCCGAGGAATCTTACGCGCAGCGGCCAGTCGCTCGAACCAGTCGGTTTCGCTAAATGCGCTTTCTCTTTTCAGATGGCGCCCAAGCGGAGATCACCGATTGCACTTCTCGTGCGGATCGCCGTCGCACTCTTGGCGCTCGACAGCGCCGACGGCTGTTCGTGTTATTACACCCACCCACAAGTGCACTACTGTTCGTCTGACTTTGGTGAGAAGCTCATTTGCGCGTGCTGATTCGCCACTGCTGTAGCTCGTTCGCTCGACCGCTCGACCGCTCGACCGCTCGACCGCTCGACCGCTCGGACCGGCTCTCCCGACACTGCGAAGCCTCTTTGGCGAATCCCGATAAATCGATTACGAGCACGAGCAGAGCTATTCGCGCCAATGTAAATAAGCTTACTTTTCTTTCAGTTATCGCCGCTAAGGTGAAAGAAAAAATGACACAGGGGCTCGAAACCACTTACAAAGTTAAAATTAACAGAAAGTTCAAAGTAAGTTGAAAACAGCAAGCCAAGCCGTTATCAGAGCGAACGCGCGTCCGAGAGATTCGGCGGCGCTCCGCCGAAATAGGTTTGCGGGCACAGCCGGCAGTCTGACAGCTTGACGTGATTGCAGTTGTCCAACGACAGTTACAACGAGCACCTATACGGCGGCCTGCTCTACACGTCGAGCATCGAGTCGATGTGCGGGGTGCACCTGAGCCTGGGCGAGAGCTACGTGGTGAGCGGCCGCGTGGTCGAGGGCAAGCCGCGAGTGAGCCTGTGCGACCTCGTGACCAAGTGGGCCGAGGTGACGAAGCGCCAGCGCAAAGGACTCAAAGGGCTCTACGCCAAGGGCTGCATGTGCGACGTGAGTTGAGCGCGCTCGTTCGCGACCAGGCGAGATTGCCAGCGCATCGTTTTGCAGGTCAGCTACACGAGCTTCAGTCGCAAGGGAGAGGCCTTGCACCGGGCGAACGGCAAGCTGTGCGCCTGGGAGGACAACCCCGGACCCATGGACTGCCAAGAGAAGCACGGCATCTGCGTGTCGAATCAGGGTAGCTGCTTCTGGATGCCCTCGAGACCTTACGACCAGTGTATCAGGGAGCACCATCAGGCTCGGCTCTTACAACAGAGACCCCACCGCGATCAGCCGTAAATCTGCATCTCTCGCGTATTCTGTACATATGTGCGTGTCCGCGTGTCCGCGTGTCCGTGTGCCGGTGTGCGTCCGCTTCGAGCATGTTTCCTGTTTCTCCGCGAGTCTCCAGTGTGAATGCGATTATTTATCAACTATTCTTTACCGATGAAACAGTACCGCGAGCTTCGCTGCTTTGTCCTCTTATTTATCTCTGTTCTGCTCGCCGTCATCTCGCAAAACCGTTCTATCGCCACCGAATCGTCTCCCTTTGTAATTACGTTCTATCGTACCAGTTGCTTCGACTTTGTCAAACAATCGTTCACCCGCTCAATATTTGCCCGCGCACACGTCAAGTACCGATTCGCTCCGCCGATTTAAATATCCCATTGCTTCATTATTATCTTATTCACGCCACAGTTAAGTAATTTTCTTTTTCTTTGGCTGAGACTGTAGATTCTATTTTTCGCGCTGTATTGTGTACCTATTTATTTTCATTGATCGTCTATCCAGTAAACTTCCATTGAGCATAGATGTTCATCTGATTTTAAATATATATATATATATATATATATATATATATATATATATATATATATATGTGTGTGTGTATATATATTATACGTATGTTCAGGAACATTTATTTTCTTAGAATTACACATGTAAATTACTTTACTGCTACATTTTTATAAATAAAGCAATATCACGAATTTTATTGCCTTTCAACAAATTCATTGCAACTTGAACAGTTGGACAAATCTCATTTAGCCACTGTCTGGAAAAACGCTTTGACCTTTATGCGAAAAATGGGCTTCTACGTAATAGCAAGGAAATTTATTTGAAAAAAACATTTTATAAAAGCATACGAGTCTACTTTATCTGCGAAGTGGTAGAGCTTCGATAAATATTTTTCAAGACATTGTAAAGACATGTAAAGATTTAAGAATGAAACGGATAAAATTGTATTGTTTAGCCAGCTGTATCAATGAATATTTTCCACGTATGTAACCGATGTGACTAATACTGTGTTGAATGAAATTGTTCAAATGAGCGCTTAAGAGACAAAATGTTTGGATTACAAAAGGCAATATTTTTAGACGGTTAATATATTTGTAGCTGGTGCGCGAACGCGCCCCCCAAGATCGCAGCGCTTTGCATACCTTGGTAAACGAGTAAGCTGATTGTAACTCACCATTTCCCGATAATTCGGATAGAATGTTTGCTCGATAAGCGGAAAATTTTCTCTACCAAGGCGCCGTTGAAGTCCAAGAAGATGGGCAAATACCCACGGTTTGTCCTTTGCAAAAAAACAAAGTTAAGATTACATGATTCAAGACCAACTAAATGACTTTCGCAATGTTTAAAGTCACTCAGTTAAATACCTGGAAGTTATAAATTGCTTGAAGATTGTTGACACTAGGGATGCCACCATACATGAGGCCTAACAGTATATTCTTGTAATCTTCACCAGCGTCACGCAAGTTTTGGCGTACCAACACGAAGTCTGGCTTGAAAGACCTGCGCAAACCGAGAAAAGAACGACGCGCACAATGAGCAAACTTGGCTAATCGGTTAGAAGTCGATCAATTTCTGATATAGATACATAGAGCTTCTTCGCGTGAATGAGTCATATGTACCTGATAACTTTGCTTCCGTTGCGGAATACAGCCATGGATACGGTGGTGCCAAGCTCGCTCGCGGTCAGTGAAATCTCGCGAAACTCGGCTTGCTCCACGCGTATTTCGTAGTCCCCGTGAAGACGACGCCCCCGGAAGTACTTGCTCCAGTCGGTGTTCTGATCATCGATTACCAGAAGGGTGAAGTAGCGATCCTTCCCGCCGAAGCCTTGACCTCTTGTGGCACCTGACACTGCCGCTCCCAAAATTGACGCGCCCTTCAATCGTTCCAATTTCTCAATTAACATACATATTTTTCTCATCGGATTGGACTCTTCTGCAGGATTGCCTTACGCTCAATAGTGCATCGCGAGACACGGCATTCGCGTCTGACAGTAACGCTACGTTATTCAATAGCGTACTTCAATAATAGGTCGATTAATCGGAAAGGGTCAAACAAATGTATGCACCGCATATTAATCAATGTTTATTATTTACATAGAAATCAACACTGCTCGACGGATAAAAACCTTTTCGATTGCAAGTTGAAAAAAGTAAAATCTAGAGATTATGAGCTTTTACTTTTTCAAATTTGCAATGGTATAATAAAATTCAATTATAATTATTTACAACTTGACATCACAAGTTTGGTAACTAAAACACCTCGATCTGAAACACGCATTCTATTCTGTTCGTGGCCTTTTGTTCTGCAATTTGACATTCAACACGTTGATCAACGATGTGACGTTATTGATTTTCTTATCTGAAACTTTTGTTATGTCAAAAACCATTTTCTGTACGACCAGCCAGACTTGCTCGCAATCTGGTGGATAGTGCAAGTTGAAAACTTGATACAATTTAAAGGCTAAATCGAGCGCTCGTAGCGGCGTATCTACTTTCCAAAGCTGCTCTTGCAAACTGACGTAAGCAGTTTCAATTATGCAAGGCTGCGGTCCGCGAAATACTATACAAGGATGCACTGGCATATGCCATTTTCCGTATCTGTCGCTTCTGCTCAAAATTTTATCTGCAAGCGCTTCTGCTGTCTGAAACGGTTTTCGAGTCGAGTGTCAAAATCAAGGAGTACGATAAATTAGTTATATATTCGCACGACTTACGAGTAACTTTTTAGCGGTACATTACCTTACAATAAATCACGAATCCCTCAGAACTCTCCAGCATTGAGGGTTTTACTGTGATCCCGCTGCCAGTTTTGAATTTGGTCGTGGGTGTGATTAGAAATGGAAGCAGTTGTATTTGAATTCCAGCTATTGTCTCTGATCTGGTGTTACTAAAATGCTCATACATATTGCAATATTCTTTACCCACGCTATCTCTAACGGATGATTTCTTTACATCGTACAACGCGTTAAAAAAAATTGTCCACTTGTTCGTCACGTCGTCTTCGCCATACAAATGCTTAAACTCATAATCAATCTGAAATAGAATATTTTTTCATCAATCCAAGTAGTTTTGACGTAGTTTTGTTTTTCATACTTGCTGTGAATGAACTGACCAAATGAGGACCTTTGTCCGTTCTCAAAATAGGCCATTCGAATAGTATATCGTTAAGATTATTTAGCGATGATCTAATAAGCTTTCTATACTCTATCGTTGCGTCCCAGTGAACGATAAGTTGCGACAACGATGCTTCTAACATTTGTAAAGACCTCATGTGAGCATCAACCGCGGCTGAAACAATCAATTCCAAACTTTATTCGAATTGATGCTCTGAAATTAATTGCGTAAAACTGTGAATTATAATCGAATGTACAAATGTTAGAATCAATTATTATTAATGGTTGTTCCATATTACCTCTGACTGATTGTGCTGTGGAAGAACTCGAACACTCGGAGGCGTTCACTCGTTTATCTTTTCCTTTTCTCTTTGGTAAAATTCCCCGCATCCTCAATTGGTAAGTAAGATTGCGCCATTTATCTGGTAATTTGCCTTTCGGGTTTTTACTTTCATTCCCGCTAGATTGCGGTGGGATATAATAAACATTCTGGAAAAATGATTAGTGATTAAGCATTATTCAAATTGTACAAAAAGTAAGCTGATTATCAGCATTGAAAACTCACAGGATCTTCATTTGGCATCAGTCTTATTATCGAGTCCGTAAGTTTCACGAAATAATTTTGAATGTGTTTGGCACTGTCAATGCGAGCTTTGTTAGATTTAAATATAAACAAATGAATGCATAAATTGGATATTTAATAGCACTTAATCGTACCCTATTAAAGATTTAGCACTTCGAGTTAATAGAAGATCGGTCAGCTTTTGCTGAGTTGTGCTACTCAAGCAATTATTTTGTTGATATTCAGCGAGAATACATTCGCCGTCTAAACTATCGAAAAGGATCGCCTCCACTGCCTTAAATCGCATAAAATTTTCATTATTTTTTATACCAATACTGAAAGCAAATGAGCACGATAATAGTAATAAGACACCGACCTCTGCACATACGTTAGTTTCGTCGAGTCGATAAGCTGCTGTATAATATTGACTTCCATCTGTCAGTCGCACTGGGAGTAACTCTTCGCTAAGCAGCATGTTGACAGATTTAGATGTTAACCCGATGCACTCGGTTTTAACTGCGGATTCCAGATGTAATACTTTTTGTTCAGTTTCATTATTATCTCTTAGCGAACCCGCAACTAATGTATATTTATTATCATGTGAACCTGTTTCGTCTAAATTACTTTCTTCCATTTTTATGATAGCATTTTCAGTAACTATCGACATTCCTGTTGAAAAACGTTGAAAATGTTGAACAAATCAGAGCTTTTTTATTTTTTTTTATTTTTTTTTATTTATTTATTTTTTTTTAAGCGAGTATTGTATTGTTTTGCTCGAACACAAAATATTTTTAAAGAATTGTTCAGTAAAGATTCGAACAAAGGAGTATTTTTCTCGGCTTTCTTAACTGATCAATTTAAACAAGAATCTGACGGATCTTAATGTTCGAAATGTAAAGAAAATCCTTTTCAAAGTAAAAGGACATGCTACTGCAACTGTATTAAGCGAAAAATCCTCTTATTTTCAAAAGCTTCCAATAAGATTTTACTCAGCGTAGTACACACGAAACCAGCTCAATATATAAAAAAATTGTCGCATATTCGTGCACTGAAATAAGCTTCCGCGAGAAGAAATCTTCTCGAAGTAAGAGCACATTATCTCATGAGAATTATTCTCTCGCGCTAAAGGGCTTTTGTTTCAAGTGCTGTCTTCTTTGCTTGTCGAGAAATCTTAACTTTGTAAAAAATGTTATTTTTCAAACCAAGACAATAAGTTTAGAACTGAATATAACGGAATAATGTATTAAAAAAATGACATTTATAAAGGGAATAAAGTTAATTTAGAACAAAATCAAATCAATCACAATTGATTATCAATTGGAGATTTGTTTTCATAAAGAAAGTATATAAAATTTGCTAAAAGAGCAAATAAAGTAGAAATTTGATAGTGAACAAATCAATGACATCGTTATGACAATGCAACTTATTCAAACACAATCTTGCTTGTACGGTCGTTCACATTGTTAGAACAGTGCTCAACAATTATTGCTGATTAATCAAGGAAAGTTGAGAAGGAATCAAGCTATACAGTTGGATAGATGAGTGGACTTACCTTGTCATTGATCCGCAGATGAATGAAACATAAGGGGAGCAACGATTTGAAATGATGCACGAACAAGTTTGCGACGTTTAAGGCAAAATGCGGAAAGGCGGTGTAGAACGTACGCCCTGGGCTCACTCTCGGTATGGTCGAGCGAAAACGCGCAGTTGCAACGCGAGCCGATAGCAGCACAACCGGGCCGTTATGGCGTGAAGTTGAAAGGCGGAAAGGACGAGAAAGGGGGCAGCGGCAAGCGGTGAGCGGCGAGCGGCGAGCGGCGAGCGGCGAGCGGCGAGCAGTCGGCAGTCGGCACTCGGCAGAGCGGCCTGGCGGCCTGGCGGCGTCGTCGGCCATCGCGAAAACACAGGATCGATCGCGACGCCGCCGAGCGGGCGAGCTCTGAGCTGCACGAGGGCCGCGGACCGTTACCGACCGCCAGCCGGGAGGAGTGCTCGAGCGGTAAGGCAATCCGGCGGCGAGCGCGCTGCGCGGGGCGGACTTGCCTGGTCGCGGGCGGCGCCGGTGAGGCTCTGCACCCTCTGGAGCAGGCTCTCGCGCGTCTTGGCAGGCGAGGAGGGCGCGCTGGTGGTGCGCGAGCTGGTCCTGAGGTTGAGGCTGAGGTCGGTGGCGGGCTGTCCGGGCGGCGGCGGGGGCGCGCCAGGCACCGGCTGGCTGGGCGGCTGCATCGACTGCGGCTGCGACTGCAGCGGCCGGTCCGCCAGGCCCTGGTAGTTCTGCGCCGAGTCCTGCCTGCCCACGGAGGCCAGCCCCGTGCGCGCGCTAGGCTCATCGTCGAGCTCCGAGCTCAGGTCCCCCGACGAGAACCTGGAAGACAAGCTCAGGCTTTTCTTTGCTTCAATGCAGGCTCTTTGCACCTCTGCTATACCTATGTACATCGATCCGCCCTCTCTGGCACTCCTCCTCATTCCTTTCCCTTATCAAACAGATCCCTTATCAGTGCATTACGCTACAGTGAGTTAAGTGTTTCGTGTTTGATCGTGTTGTTCTCGTGGCTCTTGCTCGGCATTCCTGCCCAATCGCTTACATTGTCTTACGCTATGGCCTCTGGCGCATGTCGTGCGGACTTGGCCAAAGACCATCCTATTAGGCTTGTTCCTCTGTCGACAATCGACTTCCAAACTCGCTGTCGTCTACTATCAGAGCTTTGCTTCTGATATTTGCGCGCTTGAAATACGCGACCAACTTGTTGTCATTGGAAAGCATTGGATTGCATTGATAAAGTCAATAAGTGTTCGCGATGGAAGACGTGACAGGAGATAAAGCCCAATGTACAATCGAGTTAGAAAACCGTGCGAGGAAATACAGAACATCCAATCAAAGGCCCATGATGATTTCAAGCCCGGAACAGATGTCTATCGATAGATGAAGAGAGATGATGACATTGAACTTTTCAAAATTTAGAGATAATTGCATGCGGCTTGGTCGAAGGAGAGCACAGGTCTTATCTTCAATCAATAACGTCTAGTCTAGACACCAGGATAACAGATACTGTTAATTGACCGTTAAAAAGCTATCTAAAAGCGAAGTGCTCGCGAACACCCAACTACTTATGACGTTTTCCGCAATAAAGTTACAGAATCGACTGGCCAACCAAGTGATGCGTTATTTGCTAAAGGATCTTCCGCGATTGATAATCTCAACAATGTTAGTTGGAATCCGAGATGTCGCAATTTCGTGCCCAAATATCGCGCAATGGACAAGAATTCCTGGGCTTGGAAAGAATGACATGGTCTTTTATTTAATATGAAATTCGTCAGTTCTTAACTAATGCGAAAAAAGTGATTTGGAGCAAAGATATGCCAAAATTACTATTAGTACTAGGTAGCCGAGTACAACTGTAATGGATAATAGCGACACTTAAGAGACCTGCGGTATCTCTTTCAAATTTCTAATTGATTTATTTTAGTTAATAATTTTTAGCTTTTCCAAAAATCTACGTAATTATTTTCAATCTTGAAAAAAAGAATAATATCACAGTTTCAATACGTATTCAATTTTAGTACGAGAAGAGCTATAGGCGCTTAAACGCTTATTGCAGCACTCGGATCCCCTACAAATTTTTCCGTAACCTATTAATTTTTTTGCATTAGCCATAAACTAGTGCATTTCTTATTAAACAAAACTCTTATTTTATTTGATAAACGGTTCAAATAATTGATGCAGATATACTGCATTAATTGTTAAAATTGTTGTCATTGCGAAATAATAAACTTGAGGTGTCGTTGACCAACTGTTTCTCTAACTTTATTAGGGAAAAAGCTGTAGTTTGATTTGCTCCAGAGCTTCGTGTTTATATCAGCGATTAACGTCAATCAATCAACAATATCTCCGAACTTGTTTTTTCTATCGAGGTGTTCAGAAAAGGGTATTACTAGTTATTAGAGAAAAGGAATGAAAATTAGTACTTTTAGTTAGAAATTTATAACTTCTTAAACAATTAAATTGTTTATAATAAATTACTCGACTATAAAATTGTAGGCTACTCTTGAAATTCATGTACAGGAGGTTAAAGTACATGAAAAGAACTTGGCTAACGCAATCTAAATTAGAAAGGCCACTGTGAGCCCAGTGGCGAGTAGATTCAATTACAATGCACATAAATTAACATTCCATTTTAGTTGAAAGGAGAACGAGTGAAATATTAATATTATGATATTTAAAAATACTTCTTGCATGACTTGTGCTCTTTTTTCAATTATCATTTATATAATTATACAATATTCTTAGATGACATTTTGTTAAATATTTGATGATACAGCATGAATTAAGAAGAGCGTGAAAAGATTCAATTCTCAAGTATAATATTTCTATGATAAAATAAAATTTGTAACTTATCCTCGAAACGTTTAGTCTTGAAGTATAATTTTCTTTGACACAATTATAAATTGATTTCTCTGTAATTACTGATTTATTTTAACAATGACATTATTTGACAGTTTTACATAACTTTCTTTCTTAAAGAATGCTTACACTATTCATATTGTAACATGAAATCAAAGCACTATTAAATTTATGAAATGTAATTATTAAATCAAATAGTTAATTGACGAAGGATAGAGGATTATTATAAATCGTTCACAATTTGCGTTCAATATGCCGACCATATAAATTTCTCTGCAGAGAAGTAAAAAACTAGCAAAAAGCTACTCTTCCCTTAGGGACAACTTAATCCCTACGGACATGTTTCGTAAACTCTTGTTGTTTCTAAATCCACTTCCAAAACAACATTGATAACAAATCGTCGTTTTTATATTTTCAATACCATTATTTTTCATCGCTCTTCCATGCTAATTTATTTTACATTTTTAATAAAAGCTTACATTCACTTTTCTTACATTATGTGTTGTAGTGTGACATGTTGTTGAAGCAACGTCAAATATATATAAACATAGATTTCCAACAGACATGCACTAATGAGATATTTTATTTTAAATTATAGGTGTATATTTTGTAAATTATGAAATTTGTTAAATTTGATCACTTGTCAAGAAAATTGTAATATTGCAATTTAGATACAATATTTTGTGAATTTTCAAGCTGAAAATCTTATCTTTAGTTGCTCTTTTCATGATTTAGTTAGTATGTACGTATATTAGATATTCTTGAGTCAGCACTTGTATTGTTACTGAAATAAAATTTATTTTAATTCACTTACAACTTACAGAAAATTTAATACTTTCGTATTTTTAATGGAAATGTTAACGGTACAAAAGGTAATGGCTGAAAATGTATAAATTTTGTAAAATACATTTCTTAAGTAGCATATATCTTCAGCTTATTTGTTTGAATTCGTTTATATGTAGTTTAATTTCGAGTTTTATTACACAATAAAATTGATAACCACCAACGTAATTTATAGAGCAAGGTACATACTGCTAATGCAATAGTCTGTTATAGTTATTGCAGTATAGATGAAGAAAAAAAAATGTAGATAATATGAGAGGTGAGACGGTGGTAGTTATCAATTGCTAACTACATGATATTTCGAAAAAAGTGGTCTTGTTACAAAAAACTTGGCAAAGGATCATTATGCTATAAGACCAAGTTCTCGTGGCGGTATATATTCAATCGAAAATTTGTTTTCCAAGACGATTTTTTTCGCGCTATTGATACAAAAACACATATAAATTGAGATTGACAGATGAAAAAAATGTGAAAGAACGAACGAAGAAAAAGGTGTATAAATCTCACCTTCGTTTCAAGTAGTTGACATTAGTGGTGAACGACTGTCGGAAGCTGGTAAAAGAAATGTTGGCGGATGATGGAGCAGTCCCGCAATACTTGCCGCAAGCACCGTCGCGGCCGGTAATCTTGCTGGCTTTTCTTGGTCGACCGCTACGACCCTACTCGACCTCGCTTTCACTACAAGAACGGCAAATTCAGCGACTGTATTCCGGTGGGCCCCGCCTGAACTTCCGGGACCGCTGGTCGCCTGCAACAATAGTCGACTCTCTTTAATATTTATCCGAGGCTACGGGGCAGGAGGGGCAGGAGGAAGGGGACTAGAATGTTACTGCTCTCCAGCCTCTTTATTTTGTCCACTTGGTTTGGTATCCCGATTCAAAACGAGTGGCTTCTGGTCGCTGAACTGGCCGCTGTACGAGGGCCAAGATAAGCCTTCGGTGCGGAAGGAATAGGCCGACTGGAAAACTATAGCTGGCAAGCTCACGTACGAAAGGAGCTTTGCACATCGGCGTCAAAAAGCCCAAGAAATAACATAATGAAATTAGACGATTGGCCAACCGGTGGCTGTATTTAAAAAGCGAAAAAGTGTAAAGGCTCGCCAAGCCTTCTTGGTGGAGCATCGCACGAACGCGACTGAGCGTAGATGCAATCGAACGAGCCAAGGATGCGGCAGAAGTATACCGTAGATGCGTGCTTCGCGGTACAGGTATGCGGAGGGAACGCTGCTGGCAAGCTTGCAAGACGATTTGCCTGCCTCGCTGGCTCGGATCCGATCAAGCCGCTGCCGGCGCTACCGCCAGACAAACTTGGTCTTCTCGCTGCGGCGCGTATCTCCGTCCGTGCACTGCGAGCGCTTTCACTCGGGTAAACTAGCGCCAAGGCATTTCGGCACAACTTATCCGGCGCGTCGCGCCTATTGTATATTCGCGGCGGCCCAGCAGCTACAGCGAACCTACGTTACGTTCAATACTTGCCCTTCGCTCTATCGATCGGCTCGGCCCCGTGCAATGCACCTACTCATGGCTGAAAGTCCTAGCGATGGCTTCTCAGAAGCGAGCTTCTTACGAGCTGCAAAGAAACAGTCAACGCGAGGGGGCCTCAAGAAAATTGGCCTTCTCAGCTCCCCACTACTCGCGACTCGGTCGATCAATAACCGCTCCGCTCTCGCGATTCTCGCGCGAGAATTTTCCCCGCCCCTGACATGTTTTTCCCATGTAGCGTGCAATCTGGTGCACGGCAGCCAAGCAAAAACTCGCTCGCTGGGACGTCGTTCCATTCAGTTCGTTTTTACGATCTGTCGCTTCTCTCGCTTCTCGATATTTTTTACGCGATCGCTGCCCAGCTCTAAAGCCTCTTTCGGAGCCGCTCTAGTCGCGCACCGTCTTCTTCGCCGATTACCGAATGATCGAATGCTTCGCAATTCTTGCAGCTCGGCGCAGAAACGATCTGCCGACTGCTGCTTTGCCGGGGCAGCCGAGCGGGGACGATTAGTCGAGAGAAAGACGGAGCTTTGATAAATCGCTCTCATCTGTAAAATAAGAGAGGCCAGATGAGTCAGGGCGCGTTATAGTACAGCTGAATGAGCATATATATCGGCATTGGGCCGCGCGATATCTGCAAAATAAATGAAAGCGGAGTGCAACCCTCCCTTCGATTACGCCGAGCACCGCTGGATGCGCGACGCCGCGATGGCGCAGAAGACGGAAGTTCGGTCGGAAGCCGGAGGCACTGCCTGTTAAGTCGAGGGGAGGGTCGCGCCGGCTAAATTTCTCTTTTTCTTCCTTTCCGTACGAGCCTGCTCGATTGCAAGGACTCCCCCGGCTCGGATCTGCTACGATTTAACGGCCTAACTTTTTTCCCCCCCGGCCGTACGAATTTCCGTTTTATTTGGACGAGCTTGCCGTCAACTCTCAATCATCGCCTCGTTCATACATTTGCGGTGTCAGATAAGTAACGTCAAGCAGCAGTCTCATTTCTCATTGCACGAATTCACCTGTAAACGGCAATTATAGCACAAAGCGTGCCCAGGTGGCTCTAGCTGAAAATGAATGCACATTCGAGAGCATCATTGTGGTGGTTAAGGCCACTGGCAGCTAAGCAGGCAAGACGAGTGCGAAGATTGTCGTGGATTTCGCTCGAGAGTAAACGCAGAGCTGGCAATGGCAAAAGCAAAAGAGAGAGAAACAGGAGTTGCAGTTGGTAATGAGATTTGGGCCACAAGAGAGGCAAGGAATAAGACGGCAGAGAGAGAGAGAGAGAGAGAGAGAGAGAGAGAGAGAGAGAGAGAGAGACCACAGGCGCCTTCGTAACGAGCGAGCAACATAGTAGCTGCAGCGCCTCAGACAGATGATATTTCAGTCGAACGGCTTTTGTATTTCTCGACCGGCCGAAGTGGCCGCGAGCCACTTAATTCTTTTATCGCACTGTCCTCGTTAGCCGTCAGCGTGCGAGCGCAAGCACACAGCGTACGGGCTACGCGACGGCGAGCGCAAAGCGAGCCGGATCAGCAAGGGCCGACGAAGAAATAGAAGATTCGAGAAGGAGATGTAGGTCGCTGGCTGGTCGATAACGTCTGTGCGCGAGGCAGCTGTAACGGCGCAATGCCAACAATTATAAAGAGGCAGCCGTGGGGGTCAAGCTGGACCTCGATTAGCTGTTTTAACGCGCAAACGGAACAGGCGAACCTGCTGGTTATCGGTCCGCGCACGCCAACCATTTATCGATAATTCTTCAGGCACGCGTAGTCTTTAAATTCATGACGTGAATGGTCAGACGCGCTACCTTAATAAGTCGGCAGTGTCGTCTGTTTGCCGCGTACAGGAAAGTTTTTGATTCCAAGTTTTGTTTTGGCAGGGAAGAAGGGCTGGACAGTTGGACAGTATCGCGTGTTGGACAACTCTTTGAAGGGATTTTCATCTACGCTTGGTCTACGCACCGTCGTATCGCTTGGCGGTCGTAGGCACGAGCTGTGCGTGCAGGTGTCGACCACCTAGTCGCGTGCATCATTTTTTGCGTGCTTGTGTTCCAACTTTCAAAGAGGTTGCTGTCGAAGCGGAATTACAGTACCTGTGAGCGTCCGAGAGATCCACGTGGGTCACGCGATCGATGAGAGCTCTGGCGCGCTAATATCGCATTGAAAAGAACTGGCGAATGCAAACGCGGAAGCGATGTAGATATAGCCGAGGAGGGAACAAACGAAGCGCGATGAGACTGCTGCAAATAGTCTTGGCGTACACGGGAGAGAAAAAGAGAGAGCGAGAGAGAGGTGGGGATGGAAAAGCGGTAAGCGGACTAGGAGTGTGAAAATCGATTTTTCCAGGGGTCGCTGACGTTTCACCCCGAAATCCGCGGGCGTAATCCTTGTACTCGTCGCGTGCCACTCCTCTCTCGAAAGCAGTCAAGAGAGCGCCAGAGGCAGCGAACAGGGAGTGACGCCCTTTTCAGAGAGAGAGAGAGAGAGAGAGAGAGAGAGGAAGAGAGAGCCGGTGAAGCTGTAACGGAGATCGAGGTCAACGTGCCTCGCCTCGCCGCTTACTCGCTGCACTCCGCTTGACTCGCCGAATTTATATAAATACGCGCGCAACATCGGCGAGCGAAACCGAGCGATCGATCCCCGGCTTGCCTTTAACCCACTTTCATTGGCGCCGATCCTTCCGCTCTCCCCTCCACCCCTCTCTCTCTTTCTCTTCCTGCAACTCCATTTGGCCCTTGTTTCGCACAGCAACCTCGGCAACCGATGCAGATCCCGCACGCACTCACCCTCAGCCTCAGTCTCAGTCTCTTGACCAAGACATTCAACATTCCGAATGTAGATCACTCGATGTACGGAAGACGAACGCTACCTGTTTATCAAACCTGACCCAGAGAACGTTGCCAGCTAATCGCAAGCCTCCCAGTGATTCAATCTTTCATTAACGAGTCCCTATTGATTTGATACTTCAGAGCGGAGGACACGAGAAAGAATGTCAGGCCAAAATCAGAAATGGCGCGCAGGAGTATCGAGAGCGAAACGGGGAAATAGATGGCTCCGAGAGTGCCGCGAATACTTTCTTCGGCGCGCTCACGCCCATTACTATTCGATTAGTTTTCGTCCCCTGTCGGCAGTGCATTAGCAGATCCTTTCTCCTTGCTCCGATCGATCCTCCTTCTATAACCACCTCAAAGCCGGCAATGCTGCTCTCACTCGAGGTTAACTCGAGTGTCGAGTGAGTACATGGCCATCAATGGAGGCATTGGTCGTTGCTTCGATGTGCGTTCGTAATTCGCAATGGAACGTGAATGGCGTGCTCGGCGTGGCCGGGGCTACTTTTACAATTATACACGCGATACGAGCCGGACATCGAATCCCGCCAAGCTCGCATCCAGTACACGTGCACTCGGTCCATTCAGCCGAGGCAAGAGCTCCTCTCGCCAACGGTACACTTGGCACGCCCAGCCGAATCGATTATGCAAAGCAGACGTTTATGAAAAATCCACGCAATAGCCAAGGTCGAATAGAGCCGCACGGTTTCTTAAGCAATTCTATTGGCATCGCTCATTCTGATCCCTAGCCGCGTGCCTACGTTCCGCTCGCTGCGACGGGATAACAGCTAACGGGTGCCAACCGCACGCCGCAAGTTCTCCTCCTAGCCGATTGCTTTTCCAGCTAGTTATGCCCAGCGCTTACGCATCTAGCGCTAGAGCCGCGCATGTGTCCTGGAAAACTTGGCAGCTTCGAATCGATTGTTGCGCGCCGATTTCGTCACGATTCGCGCGATCAATCGAACTGACGCTTCGCGACGCAACCTTACGCCCGCTCCAAATTATCCTTGCTTAAGCGCCTACTTGTTGCATTTATCTCTGTTCTAGCGTGGGCTGTTGCAAAAACTCTATGAAAATCCGAGGCAGGCATACTCCGGATAAAAGAACAAATGCCCGCTAACTTATGTACCGTCACGTGGCGCACACGTTCGCCCGCGCTGTGGTAAGCAGCTGCCATACCGAGCGATTATCATAACCGATAAAATTTAGTCGCACATGCGCGCGTTCGCTGCCTTGCAGCAGCAGCAGCAGCAGCAGCAGCAGCAGCAGCAGCAGCAGCAGCAGTAGCAGCACCAGCACCAGCACCAACACCAGCACTGTTATGCGATAATTCCACAAATTCCTTCGATCTGTTCGGCGCACTGCACGTTCATTTGCTATTCAGCTGTGAGCGAATCTCCAGAGGCAGTACAGATAACGGCCTGCGAGCTAACTAGGACGAGCGCTGCTCATCAAAATCAGCCACCAATCGCTTGTTTCGAATCAGTTTTCTTTTTGTTTCATCGCGCGTTCGCTTAAGCGCGCTAATTGATTAATTGAGATCGCCATTAAAGCCGAATTATTACATAGTAGATCGCGCGGGCTATCGATTGGGCGAGGGCTATCCCCAAGTCCGAATGCCAAACGCAGGTGTACGCCAACATACTGTTACTTTTCCCAAACGATTTAACTATTTCGGCGAAGAGGGTCGGAGTAGTTGACACACGAGGCTGCATATCAATTGGAAAAAAAACCCGCTAGTTTGTAATGTCGTTGGGATGTCAATGGCAAGCGAGTGTGTGGCTAAGTTGTAATAACATCGCCGAGGCGTTGATGAAAACAGGCTGATGTATGCGGGGCGAATAGCTACTATAAAATGGCTACGAGGCGGATGTACGGCTTGACGCGTTCAATTTTATCGCTGGAACTGGGTTGGCGGATGAGAATGTGATTGTGTGTACCTGTTAAGCTTTGGCGAGTGGCTGCTGTCTGGTGGCTAGAGCTTGCAGGCTGCTACCCGGCTCGGAAAGGAAGCTTGCGAAGCGTCAGGGTAGAAGAGAACGGGATAGTGAGGCAGAGACAGTAGCCGAGAGAGAAAGAGAGAGAGAGAGAGAGAAAGAGAGGATGGTGCACTCCGAGCGCGAGAACTGAGAAAGAGAGAGAGAGAGAAAGAGAGCGTCGAAGGGGGTGGCACGGCTCGCGGATCGTTGGCCTGCAGGTTGCGGCGTCGTACGGCGGCGACACAGACTCGACTGATTGCTCGAGGATGCACTGCCACAGACCAGTACACGTGTGTAGGTCGGTGGGGCGCTACTCTCTTCGGTCTGTGTGTGGCGTGTGCACGACTCGTACTCTGCAGCGACTGCTCCCTCTAGCCGGCAGCCCAAGCAAGCGGCGCTAGCGACGACCGGAGTGCACCCCCGACACGCGTATCTCCGGAGGGAGTCGCGCCCACGGCGCCACCGCTCAATAAACCGTCGCTGCCGTTCAGCGGCTCCGCGCCTGCGCGAATCGCGCCGACCCAGTGCCGCGGCTCGTTAGCCTTTCGTCCCTCTTCCCTCGAGCGCGGCGTCCACCATCGATGCCGTGATCCGCTGCCGATTCGTTTCATCGGCACCACCAGAGACAGCAGCAACGCCGACCGTATTTTTCTTTCGGAAGCTCGAGCCCCTAGCCGTGGCGAGCTTGATGCCAGAGCGTAGCTGTGAATAGGAAACGAGGCGAAAATCGATATCGCCGCTTCCTCGCTCCTCCACCTCGTGACCCCGTCTGTGTGTACGCGAGCAAAAATTGACGGCCCCGTCCCCTTGCTCTTGCCTCCGAACATGCTGGACGAACCGCTGGAGCGCCAGATAGAGCCTTGCTGCTCGAGAGCTGACAAAAAATAGCACTCAAGCCGAAACCTCCTCCTTCGCTCTTCTTTCCACACGCCGATTCCGACAAGGATCATCTGAAAATGCTCCAACAGACAGTCAGGCTGTCAACAATCTGTGCTCTTTTTCTCCCTCCAGCCGAGAAAATGTTTCGTGCAAAAAAATTCGATAGTGGTGATACGCAATGTCAAATATAGGAACGAAGCGGCGCAATTCACAGATTTGCGACCGATGGAGTTGGCTGCTAAACAGCGGCCGCAATATACTCAAAATTACGTTGACGCTGCGCTTACGTTACGTCGATGTTATCTGCGTTGGGTGCCATGATATCCCAGATCGAATTTAACGAAGCTCAGGTGCACACGAAGATGAGGAACGACCGGCTGAACTGGATAAACGTGAAATTAGAGATGCAACAAGGGTGTAAATTTTTCATTAGCAATACACTGAGCTACATTCATTGACGTACATACAGTGTGCATTGTTGGCACAGCGGCCGAGCGTTCAAAGCTTTTACGCGCACTTGTCAAATGGTCAGCATCGTATACTTCTTTTACGCGGTATAGCGTCCACTTATGTGCCTTTGCGACGACAGGCGTGCTGCTCTGCTTCGATCGCGCGCGTGCCTCGATCAATAAGTCACGCGAGTCATTATCAACTTGCAGAGCCGCTGAGAAGTACTTGTTGCGTTTAGTGGCATGCCTCGCTGACGCAAACTTAAATTCCTGTCTCAATTTGAACATTGCACGGATAGACAACTAGCGGTAAACAACTGGTGATATTCCCGACAACGAATTGCACCCCCCTCCCCCCCGTCTGTCTCTCTCTCTCTCTCCCTGTCAAGAAAAAAAGCAATATATAGAAGAAAAAAAGCACTTTGTACAGAACAATGGTCGGCAAAGAGATTCTTGTCGTGCACCAAGCTCGTCGGCCTTTTCTCTCTCGAGCAAGCCACTGTGTAGACCGTAGTCAGATGGTTGTATAGTGCCACGCGACACTATATAGTTGGTACACATGCCATGGTGCTATGAAAGTCAAAATCAATTTGTTGAAAGGCTGCTAAAAAGAGCAACAAATGGGAACTCGAGGCGGTCATTTGGAAATAAAGCTGACGCAATCATAAGAGCGCAAACAACACGTCTGTCTTGTTTCAGACTCTTACTACTTTAAGCATTCGTGCACGTTCGACTTCCTGCGCGAGCCCCTCACCGGTTATTCGTCGATGGACGGCTAGTCAAGCCCAGCACAGCAGCTCGCTCTTAATCTCATTCGTAACAGCACCTATGCGAACATCTCACTGACTTAACGCACTCGTCCCTAATCCATCGAGTTATACAGGTCATCGTTACCTTATTCATCACATTAATTACTCACTTACGTCTTTTGTTTTACTCTATCGCTGTATAGTCCATTAAGGATTGAACGAATAATTCGTTAATTTTTTCACCATTGTATCGGATATTTAAATCAAATAAACGATCAATTTATTTTCTCATTTATTTCAATCACTCAATCAATTTAACAAGGATAAGTCTGGATTCTAAATGAAATTCCAGCTGCATCAAAGTCACATTTAAATGGTTCTAGAATACACTCTAATCTACTTATCCATGCGGAGTCACGCATTTCCGATTTGTTAATGTTTGTCAAACGCAAGTCTATATTCCTGACAGCTGTAATTTGAGCAATAATTAATAACAATTTTTTTCGTCGTGTTTTCATACTCACCGCAAACTCCGAATCTAACTTGGCAGCACATTGTGTGAATGGTAACTACGTCTTGTATGAACCCCAGAAACTCAAAGGTTTCTAAATTTGGTAGGCACGGAAAGATTTTTCTTAAGTGATTGTCAAATGTTTCTTGTACATTCCATACACTAAGGTAGAGTTTCACTAAAATAATTTAATAACTCTGTTTAATGATTTGGACACTGGAATGTAAGATTATACGATTAATTATTACCTAAATGTCTATGATACCATCTATAAATGATTTTCAGTGTGCAATCTATCATACATGGGTAATGAGATAACAGTTCGAGATTTGTCGATAAATGCAGCGCTTGAATCGGAATACTTTTCGTCAAAAATTTACTGTGTTGATCGTATTCAGATATTCCAACTGAAGATGTTGACCAATATATCATGTTATGTTTATGAACATATTGATTGATTTATGCACTTACGAATAATGAATTGAACTCTGATTTTAGGTGACCATTTTCTTACTTCATTCCAAGTACAATCAGGTATGGTAACTGTTATTTCCTTTTTTAGGCATAACAGTTGTAAAATTTTCCAACACTTATTCAAAGATCTGTTGAAAAATATTTCTAGCATTTATTTATTCAGAACCCAATAACTCAAATCAATTTTGTTGAAAATGTTATCTTGATTATTGCTACTAATTGCATTTTCAAAGTTACCACAAATTAAATGAAAGATAAATTGTAGGAAATACTTACTTTGCCAGAAATATCAACTCTTTTCCAGTTTCCGAAGCTATGTAAGTGTAATTCAATGATATTGATTCAAGGTACTTCAGATTTGTTATCGCTTGTAGCCATTTTGGTAAATGAGAAAAAGTAGCTTTATCGAATCCTTCGGCGTCTGTAATTTTTGCCCTCACTCGTGGCTTAGCATGATATTTGAAAACTCGCCATAACATTAAAAACTTAATACATTTGTTTGACCAAACCAATGCTAACAGTATCTCTGATATTTCATTTATTGTGAGATCGAGACCTTCTAAACATACAATTTCTAATGATGACTGGTTTCTAGAATAAATAAATGAAAAAGAGATATGGAAACTTGGAAAATTAGGACATTCGTTTATCTCTATAGAACAACTAAAACCTGATGAAATTGACGGTCATTTGGATAAAATTTCGTCGAGTTAATGGGTCGTACTTATCAAGATTGATCAGCTGTTTGGAAATGAGGATGTGTTCAACAGATATATTTTGTCGACTAGATGCTCTACAAAAACATAATGATTTAGTACGAGTAAAAAATATGAAGGTATAACGTACTTGAGTAGGGTTGAGTTGAGCATATTACGAAGCTCCCTCTCAAAGCATTTATCATATTTCTTTTTAGAAACATATTGGTGCCAATAAAATTTAGCCTTTAAAATAAATGCGCACGTCAGATCTCGTCCATGGCTATAGAGAAGCCGCAGGATAATTGAAATGATATAACCTACTTCAAATGAGATCAGTGGTAAATTTCTTAAAGATTTAGCAAACAGTACGTCGTTGCAATGCTTCGAAAGTATCCAATGTTTGCGCTGATGTTCAACGTTCCATTTAAAATGTTGATTCTGATAATGACTAAGGAAATTTAAAGATAAACCTAACATCGTCATATTGGATTAAAGGTTATGAAATTGATCGATTGAGTTGTGCTTGTTTCTCGTAGTCAACAATGGTTCGCACAGTCATATTGTTGCAACAACTTGACCGAGTAGAACATGTCATTTTCCTTGAGACAAAAGTACAATTGAAATTGCTCATTCTTCATTATTTATTATGATCGCAATGGTTAACAGTTGGCAACGTGGGTTAGAGCTGAACAACAGCGAGTAATTTGCATGGTTTTAGGATGCAGCGAAGTGTTCCTAAATGTTGAGAAGTATTGCCCACGGATGCGAGCTATTTATCAAGCTCGGTATTGAGTGAGCAATTGCGATACATGCCACCGCGGGACACCTCGAGGCTGAAGCTGCCATTGCGCGGATAGTAAGTGGTCGGGACCGTGTGGATTGTCGGTGAGAACCAGCCGTAATCCGTCGAGGTACTCCGATAGCAAGGATGCGGGTTTGATCCAGCCACCTCTCGATAGCCCTTCAGCAGCTCTACAACACGTCCAATCAATCTATACGGATCATCATTAATCGACAGCTCGCTTATATTGCGTCACAACGCATAATGTAAAACGTGGAGCAGTTTACGCTACGTCTATGTGATTTTACTAGCGACTATGGCAAACGGTTAATAATTTCTTTTTAATGCAATTGTCTGACAATTGAATATCGTCGATCGAGATGGTAAAAGAGCGCTATTCGAAGCTACTTACTTGGATACATAAATCGTATGGGTATGTTGACTGTTCTATAAACTTCGTCAGTCCTGGGACCTGGCAGACTGCTAGGTTCATCATCAGTACTCCCATTTTCGCTCTTGTTACAATCACACCCGCAGTCTTTCGTCATTTTTTTGGCATCGTAACTACTAATGCCCGACAACAACCGAATCTAAAGAACCTCCAACTCAGTCAAAGGTTATATGGTTGTTATGACAACGTCAGCAACATCGAATTACGATGCACGTAAGGGTAAGTTTGTTCATAAATGAACATAGAAAAATTTGTCTCGGAATCAATACAGGAAGTATCTAAAAAATTACGTTTATTTTTTCTTATGTACTAATATTAATATGCAATTTTTAATATTGAGTAAATTTCATTTATAGTCTGTTTCATTTTTATATTTATAGTGCTGAATATGTAAATGCTGAAATATGCACTTTATGCGAAACAAATTTTCATTATAACGTTGTATGGAAATTTATTTTGGACATATGACCTATATATAATATCAATGATAAAATATTATATATGATATTAGATCTCATTTGCAGTAAATTTTTAACAAACTTACTGTATAATAAGGTAATTTATAAAAAAAATTATAATGTTATTATAATGTAAAAGCAAAAGCTTCGACTAATATGAGATCAATATATTAATAAATATATATATTTTACTTGTAACAATTTTTTATAACGGTGGTCGGTAATGTAGATTTCTATTATGCTAACCATGCATCATTTATCAATGGTAAGTAATTCAAATTTTTATTAAATTTTGACAAGATAACAACAAAATAAATATTTAAAAATATTATAGCATATATTTCTTAATGATAAATAATTGACCTCAGCTTTCAAGATTATTTTAATCAAATCATTGATCGTCAGATCCAGATACAACGCTTAACCAATTCTAGTCAATTGGTTCCGTGGTGTAGCGGTTATCACGTCTGCTTTACACGCAGAAGGTCGCCAGTTCGATCCCGGCCGGAACCATATTTTTTTGCATTTTAATAAACTTCTAAATTATTTCATATACTTGTCTATATATTTAGCTTTTATTATATAACTGTAAATTCTTATATAAGTAGATTGAACAAATTTAACAGTATTAAAATAAATCAATAAAATTATACTTAATGCGTGTTAAATTAAAAATTAAATTTAAATTATGAATAAATTTAAAATTTATACCAAGGCAAATATAATGTTTAGAATGTATTATTAATCCTATTACTAAATAAATATTTGCTTTGTCTGATAACTGCGTATCTGTTCTCTATTTCTGGCGCGCGCGTGTACATGTGTGTGTAAAGTATTTTACCAACACCAGCGATTCTATTATGCACTTATGTAACTCAGTACTTGCGATAAATAAATAATACAAAGAAAAAATTGTATAACAGATCACAATCTAAAACCTTGTAAAACGTAAGCAGTAATCGTTAGATAACCGAATAATTTATACACAAACCGTAAATCAGATTAGAGTTAACTTCTCGTTTAGGTCCGAGTTACTGCAAATATTTCTACGGTCAAATTTAATATACTTTTTGACCTACGCAAAACACTTTTGTAGAAAAAATTTCAAATCATTTTAAATAATAAATAACTCAAACCTTTTTGTTTTTATTTTAACGTCGCTCTATTTATACTCCATCCGTGCTAATCAGCGACGGAGGCTTGCAATGTGTTTGAAAACAAAGTACATGAAAACTTGAACCTATAAGGAATTGAAAATAATTTTTGTAATAAGCTTGGAATTCTAAAATACGGAAGAAAATGAAATGCAGTTTTTTTAAAGCTTTTCAATCTATACATCGAGTTGATGAATGCTGTAATTCAACGTTGTTATTTCTCAATATTAAAGCAACATAGAACATAATAACACGTTTTCACCATAGTGTGCGTAAAGAATGGCAGTCTGAGAAGAAACTACCCTGGGCACACGCGATGCGCTTTTCCTGCTTTCAGGAGCCTGACGGCTCGAGAGCGGTAAATCAGTGCATCGTGTGTACACAAGGCACTTTAGGCCTCGGCCACGAAAGCATACACGCACGTTTTTGTACGAATGCGTTCGACTCCGGTGGAATCACTAGATATGCTAGTTAGAATTTTAGTAACAGCTAAACTAATACTTGCTTAAACATCACTATATTTTATCAGATAGTTTTGACATCTTTTGAATCTTGTCTTTCTCATTTCCATACACTCTAGTAATTGTAAAAATACAATACCCAATTTAACTACTTCTAGTTATAACTCCACCAAAAGTCTATTATTAACCAGCTATTAAAAACAAAATATATTAATTACGCGTTATCTAAAAATAAATAAGATTTCTTTTATTTTTCTCTTATAATCCTCTTATCCTCTTTCCTCTTTCTCTTATCCTTTTATCCTCTTATAAAAGAAAAGAGAACCTGACAAAGTGAACCCAATTTATTCGTGAGCTCACTGGTTGAAAGATAATTACGTGATCAACTGTTGTTGGCTATTTTATATAAGTACATGTTGTGTACGCTCATGAAAGATCATCGTAGATTTCCGTAGATAATTAAGTGTTTGAAAAATGAATCAGTATAGTGGACATAAATTTCATATGAATTGATCCCTTTAATCATACTAATCTCAAAATAATAACCGACTGATACCTCGGTAAAGAAATTATTTAAGTTTTGCTCTACGAGGTGTCATAAAAAAGTAAGGTGAATTTTTAAATTGGGCGGGCTACGTAGATTCGATCATCGATTTTTTTTATTATGTTGGTATACATGTTCCTCACATATGCTCAAAGTTTCAGCCAGTTTGTATGTTTACTTTTTTTTTGCAAGACAGAAGCGTTAGACGTGTTTTTTGTGCTCAGCGATTTTCTGCTGTCGAAAAAAATGGATCAAAGAGTTTGCATAAAATTTTGTATAAAAATGGAATTAAATGCTCCAAAACACTTGAAATGTTGACAGTGGCATACGGTGAGTCTATTTTAAATCAAATAAATGTTTACAAGTGGTATAAGCTCTTTCAAGATGGCCGAGAAGACACCGACGACGAATCTCGCCCTGGATGCCCCACCACTTCGATAACTGATGAAAGTGTTGAAGAAGTGAAACAAATGGTGTTAAAAATTCGTCGAATCACTATTAGAGAAGTGGCTGAAGACGTCAGCATCTCTGAGGCTCGTACCATGCAATTTTTTCCAAAGTTTTGAGCATGAAACGTGTAGCAGCAAAATTTGTACCGAAACGATTAATTTTAAACAAAAGGGCCGTCGAAGGAGCATCGCTCAAGAGCTGTTAAACGACGTCAATGATGATCCTGATATGCTCAAAAGAGTCATAACTGGTGACGAATCATGAGTTTATGGTTATGACGTCGAAACTAAAGCCCAATCGTCACAATGGAAGACTCCAGAAGAGCCAAGACCGAAAAAAGCACGTCAAGTTCGATCAAATGTCAAGGTTTTGCTCACTGTTTTCTTTGATTATCGTGGCATAGTACATCAAGAGTTCTTACCACAAGGTCGTACGGACAATATAGAGTATTACCTTGAAGTTATGTGCCGTTTGCGAGAAGCAATACGAAAAAAACGTCCGGAATTGTGGGAAAACAATTCATAGATTTTGCATCACGATAATGCACCTGCTCACTCATCGTTACTTGTGTCAAACTTTTTGGCCAAAAACAAAACCACAATCATGCCTCAGGCACCATATTCACCGGGTATGACCCCCTGCAACTTTTTCCTGTTCCCAAAACTCAAGAAACCCATGAAAGGACAAAGGTTTGGAACGATTGAGGAGATAAAGAAAAAATCGCTGGAAGAACTCAAGGCTATACCAGAAAGTGCTTACCAGAAGTGCTTCGAAAAAACGTTGGTACAAGTGTATTATATCTGAGGGGGATTACTTTGAAGAGACAACATAAATATCGATGAATAAATAAATTTTTTCATATAAATAAAAATTCACCTTACTTTTTGAACACACCTCCTATGCGAAAGTTTAACTTTAAATAAACAAAATTAACCATAAAAGATATAAATTAACTGATTATCACGATAAAATATTGTACAGTTTTGACTTTATTAAGTACATAAATTATTACGACATTTTTTTGAAAAGGCACTAATTATAACAGTGAATGTTCTTACCGAAGTATATTATTTATATCTTGAAGAATATGATTATAGAATACTATAATGTTTTTAGAACTTACAATACATTTGTTATCGCGTTTTTCAAACTTTTGAATGATTTTTTAACATAGAACTTGGGATGATAAAAACTTAACAATTTGAAATCATGAGTATATAACTGCATATTTATTTATCAATAAATAATATCGTCGGCCATATGTCATACCAAATCAAAGGAATATCTAATGCAGACGGGATTTTTGAATGTTCTATTTCGCCAATAAAAATGTGATCTATATTCGTGCATTAAAATGAATGCACAGGAAAAAAGAAGCACGCGAAGCGCGTTAAACACTACTACAATACGTCAAATACAAACAATACGTCAATCCATTACGTATAACTACGCTCAATGTGCTTCGACTAAAGAACACAATAATATGTTACTTTATAGAATTGAGAACAATTATAAATGTAAGAAAGTAGTGGATACAAAACTGCTACCACTTAAACTAATTTTTCTGAGACCATTGTTAGACATTAGGAAAATAACCAAAAATCAAAATACTTAGGAACATTTTTATCTCTGATTCTTCTGAAGCTGACCAATAAACACATCTCAATATATAATGTCGGGTCAATATTACTTATAGTAATATCAGAATGTGTATTACGGAGAAAATATTGCAAGAAATAACTCAATTATGAAGAGACACTGTTATAGGACATCGAACATGTTTAGCAAGAAAATTGTTACTGCGTTTGTCAATCAAACAAAATAAGTAGTAAATGTTGCTTTTATTATTGTCAAGAAATTATGCAATGAAAACAATAATGGCCATATTGAATTTTCGATAAACGAATACATTATACCTTTAATAATTTCCTATTCGATCAACCTAATTCAAGGTCGTCTTACGTCGTATCGGAACATTTATTTACATCTTGAACATATATTTATTAATTCAACACCCTAATTCGCTTACTCTCGGTGCATAATATAAAAGTAAAATATAAAAGAC